GTCGCGGGTGTTTGACTCGTTGGCCGAGACTTTCCGCGCATATAGACTGATCCATTCAGCCTCGGGCTCTCCGCCCTCGTAGTGCTTAGCGCCGCGAGTATTTGACACGGGAAGGCGGACAGCTGAAAGCCTGCGAATGTGGGTTTGGTGTGCAGGTATTGTTGGTGATTTTTTGTTGGGGCTGTCACGGTCGTGGGATGCTCGGGAGTCAGTTGGATTAAATGTTACGTTTGTTGGCCGATGGGTTCGGGGCCATCGGTTCCAGATGTTTGGTTTACCGTTTCGAGTCCAAGAACCAGATTTGGGACTTGAAGGGTTTGTTTGGCCTCTGGTGTCCAGTGATGGTTCGGGGAGCGATTTCGAAAGTTGGCCCTGGGTTAGGGAGAGGCTTGTGCGGCTTTCACCCAGTGGTCGGGCTAGTGAACATGTCCTGGGGAAGCGTCCTCAAGTACCCCCCGAGCGCTTCTTGCCTGAAAGAGACCGCTCCAGCTATACTGGCGCGCCGCTTACTTGGCACTCTCGCTCACCAGTTGCGCCGCGCTCCACGGCTCCACAACCGGCCCCCGCGGACTCGCAGGGTCATCTCGCCGACCAGGATGCCTCCTCAACGCGCAACCACTCTCAAGAACCTTCCTCCTCGCCTGGAAATATAGATTTCGCCTCCCCCTGGAGACCATGAGAGCCAGGGGCGAGCGCTGCGACTTCCAAGCGGGGCCGACGGCGGCGGGGGAACGAGGGTCGGGGATCGGAGAGGCATCCCTCTCTCCCTCTCTCTCTCTCTCTTTTTCTCGCCTTTGTCCCCCTCTCCTCCTGGGGTGCACCACCCTCACCGCCCACTCCTCCCACGCCTCCCTCCCTCTCTCTCTCTCTCTGTCTCTCTCCCTCCCTCTTTCTCCCCGACCCGGGCGCACAGAGGAAAGGACAGAGGGGCTGCCCAGGCACGGCTCTTCGGCTGGGACGAGCTGATGGGCACGTGGGTGGCCGGGCAGCAGAAACGCATTCGTGTCCGCGTGTTCTTTTTTGTCGATTCGTTCGGGGTCTCCCCGAGTCGCACCGATGCCGTGGCGCTCTCGAGCAGACTTCGATGGCGCGTCAAGCAGATGTTCCATTGGCCTCGCTGGGATATCGCAAGTGCCCAGGCGGTTGGTTCATATGTCTTCTGGTTTGCCAGCCTCCTGGCAACATCGGGCCTAACTGCCGATGGCAGGGGGGGCGCCAGCCGCGGGCGAACACCGCGGCGGCTTGAGTCCCTGCATGCGGGTCGGGGCAACGAACGTATCCATTGTGTCATGTTTTGTCTGCCCAACACTTAGTGCCAAGTGGCGGCCCAAACACAGCGTGTGTGTACATATTACATATGTGTATACGTGTGTCGGTCGGAGAACTCGCCAGGCAAGTGTACATTATCTAAATATTGTGGCTTCTATGCGAGGCTCCATGGGACAGGGCAGGGATGCCCTCGTGTATGTACGCGCGGTTCCCAGCGGGGCCGATGATCGTTGCATTCTTCCTCTCCTGCTCCGCGTCCCGCCTCGCCTCCTTTTTTACTCTCTTGCGTCCTGCTGCTGCTGCGCCTGCCGTTCCTTCTGCTCCCGCTCTCTCTTCGCCAGGAGGATGCGGAGGAGGGGGATAAGGGGTTCAGAGAGGAACAGGTACTGATACCTCTACCCTTCCCTCGTTTTCCCCTTTTTGGGCCTCGTGGGGGGCCCTCGTCGCCACCGCTGGATTCGCCTCGAACTTCTAGTCAGAACGCGCCGTGGAAGAGGTCCGGGGAGTAGTGGTCTCGGTATTTGTTGGTTCCCAGGGGGGGGAAGCGTCCCGGCTTGCTGGTTGCTAAACGGATGCGCCAAACAGCGCCATGCCGTGGAAACGAGCTCGTACCTGTGGAAGCGGGCAAGAGAGATTTTTCAGGGAGGAGGAACAAACACGAAGGGAGGCGGAAGCCTCTTTGGAGGAAATGCTGCGTGCAGTCGCCCTAGAGGGGACTGCACTGTTAAGTCTGAGCTCGTCTTTCTGACTCAGGAAGCATAGTGGCATAGTTGTTTGTTGTTGCCCGTCGGCGGCCACATGTTCGCGAGTGTGATGAATTTTGTCTCACCGCCAGCGTCTGTGCCAGCATGCGTAGTGAATGCGAGAGAGCGGAGAACCAAACGGAAGGACCTGGCACACGTAACGTTTCAACATGTGGTTGAAGAATTCCCGCGTAAGTGAAAAGGTCATACAGTTCTTGACGGGGTCGCGCTACACGTTTTGTTATATTGAGCCAGGTACGGGCCGAGATCGTTGGGGGCGCCAGACGGAGTAATGCGAACATGTATATAGATGTATGTATGTATCTTCACGGCCGTGGTTTTGGTGAGTGGTGTGTTGGGGGGTGTGCGATTTGCTGAAAGAAGGTTAAGAACTCATAGTGTGATTGTTTGACAGTTGAAGGAATTGATGTAGAACTCGATGTCTGGCATGTTTGACGCTTCGAGGAACAGGAACTGATCGCCACGCGAGTTGCCTTGATCATGGAAGTGAGCAAGCATGCAGTTTAACCGCCACCTTGGACGTGTGTTCTCGGAGGTCGCTCGGTGCCGTCTTGGGTCTCTCTTGGGGTCCTCGCGGAGCCACTTGTGGCACCTTTGGGGCTGTTTGGGGGGATCTGGGGGACATCTTGGGACTGGCTTGGGCCCTGTTTAGGCTCTCTTGGGGCCATTTCAGAGGAGATCGATCAAACAAGGGGAGATAAACAATTTAGCCCCCCCCCAGAAGGTCCAAACTGGCCTCTTGGGGGCCTCTTGGGCCGCTCTTGGGCGCCTCTCGGGCGCTCTTGGGGCCGTCTCGGGCCCCTCTTGGGCCTCTTTGGGGCCATATTGGGCCATCTTGAGGCCCACGAAGCTCATCTGAGGCGAACAAGCGAGAAACCCGAAACCCAAAAAACATTAATTCTCCTAGGCTGTTGAAGAATTTTGGCTTACTGGGGTGTGCCTTGGGAAACTCGAAGGGCACTAGGAACCCGCGTGGGGCTGTCTTGGGCAGTCGTGGATGCATGTCGGAGGCTATCTTGAGCGATCTTGAGCTATCTGGGGCCATCTTGAAGGCAGCCATATTGAGCCATGTTGGGCGCTCTGACCCCTCGCCGGCAACCCTTACCAGGGCCCAGGGGAGGGGGTAGGGGGAGGAGTAAAACCCTTCCCCGATCAGGGGAAGGAGGGGTTGTGGCAGGGTGGTATTACAAGGGGTAGCATGGCTGCGGTCGGTAATAGGGTGGAACGATGAGGGACACGCGTGACGAGCGAATCATGTGTTTCCGTTTCCAAGGTGTTAGGTGCCGAGATTTTGGCCGAACCGCGGCGCCAGCGATGCCCAAGCCGAGCGCTCGGACCCTGCTGGCGGCGTGGCGCCGCGGCGTGCTCCGCAACAGCACGCCGGAGGAGCGCCGGACCATCAAGAAGGCCGACAAGAAGGAGAAGGAGGCGAGGAGGAAGAGAGAGAAGAAGGAGGAGGCGGCGCAGAAGAAGAAGGACAAGGACAAGAAGAAGAAGGCCGCACATTCTGGCCAGACAGGATAGCGAAGAGAGAAGAACGTGTAGATGACAGCGTAGAGAGCCGAGATCAGAGCGCAGAGTGCAGACATAGCACCGAGAGTATTGAGTACAGAGTGAAGGGCGGGCAAAGGGTAGAGAGGCCAGAGTAGAGAGGGTATATTACAAACAGTGGAGAGTATAAGGTGGAGGGTAAAGGGTGTGACTACATAAAGGGTAGACAGGAGAGTGTAGAAGGTTGCGAAGACAGCAATGTTCCTCGTCCTGTGCTCGCGCCCTCCACCAGCAATCTGCGCGCACATGCGCCGGGCGAAAAGCAAACGCGGGCATTCCCAGGGTGTGCTTTCGATTCGTGGGCCCCGCCTGATCTCTCGACCCTCCCCCGTGGCTGGCGTTGCACCCTGGGTGCTTCCAGGCGTTGCCAGAAGTGTCCCTGGCCCAAGGTGCCCCCGGGATCTCCAGGCTGAGTGGCTCGACGAGCTGGGGGCACCGTGGCCCAGGGCCACAGCTGGCTCTTCCCGATACGTCTCGATTGTCCCGGGGGCTTCAGGCCGGGTCCCATCGCCCACCAGACCGCCCCAACCCCAACCAGAAGGCCTCGATTTGCCGTCCATTTCCATCAGGGGCAACCGTAGGGGGATGATAGGCGTAGGGTGGGGGATGCGTCGACCCCCAATCGCCCATCGATCGCGGATATGGGCCCGATAGCCCCAACCTGCCCAGGAAGGTGCGGATTCACTCTCGGGGACCTATCGTCGCTTCATCGGCGATGTATCGCCCATTCGGGGTCGGCGTTTCCCCCCCTATGCCAGCCCCCCCAATGTTGCCCTTCATTCCAGTGGGGGGGGGGGAAGGGAACACTGAAAAAATGCAAATGAAGCCCGCCCCCTCAAACCCGAAATTCGGCTCTTTCGGGTTGGGTTGGGGTGGTCTGGTAGACAGGGTCAGACTCCACGTCGGCCGGACATCGCGAAATACTGCATGTGCCGACTCGGTGTTCGAGCCAACAGACGCCCATGAATGGGAGGTGCCCCGATGGCGCGTCGGCGACTCCAGCGCGGGCGTTCAGGAATGAATTCCACCATCAGGGGCCACGTTAGGAGAGGGATGGGCTCAGGGTGGGAAGCATCGACCCCCAGTCACCCACTAATCGCCGATCGGGGCCCGATAGCCCACCCCGCCAAGAACATTCGGATTCGCCATCGGGGACCTATCGGGCGATTTGTCGGCCACTTATCGCCGATTCCAGGCCGACGTTTCCCTCTGAGCTGGTCCCCTTCCGAACGTTTTGCCTCGCACCAGCTGCCTGGGTTCGGCCAGTAGTGATCGACCTCGGCGTTGAAAGCGTCGACCGCTCAAAGGTCGAACGATCCACGTGGTGCCAGAAGCCCACACCCACGTCACAACGACGTGAGCCTGCCGAAAAGAAGGTGGAGGAATGATCGGATGATTGTGTGTGTGTGTGTGTGTCCGTGGGAGCAGTAGGCTGAGCATGTTCCTTGGTGCAGGGTGGCACCCATATGGCGCGTTCCAGAAACGGGCCTCGCCATCGTTCAGTCGGCCCTGTCCCTCTACAGGGGGAATATTCGAAAATTGTCCCCAAATAGTATGGGGACGATTTTTGAGTATTTTTTGTCGATGTTTGAATATGTTCTGGGTCTCCTTTTTTCGTCCAGTATCCGCCTGCAGGGGGACATGCCCGACCTAACGCTATCGAGAGCCGACAGGATCGGCCCCGCTTCCTCGGCTGACGGCGGCGCAAGGCCTGCGGAAGGCGGGCGGAAGGCAAAAACGGGGACGGCTCCGCCGGCGGAAGCCTGCGGAGGCCAGGCGGAGATGCCACACGGTTTTTTGGGGATTCGGGGGGTCCGGAGCTTGCCACACGTCAGAGGCCGGGCGAAGGCGGGCAAGCTCTCGGCTGCCAAAACGGAGCTTTGGGAAATTGTTTTCCTTTCTTCCGGAAAGCAGCCCGCTGACTATTTAGTGATTTGAGTTTGATTCCGGGTGTTTGTGCTTTTCTTCCGGGAAAACCGTTTTAGAAGCCACGGATTTGCCAGCATTCGCCCAGCTTCCACACATGGGCGCTTGCACCCAGAAAATTGATTCGTCCAGCGTGGTTGGTGGCTCCCAGGGTGAGCCGCTTGCTGCGTATCGCCGCGCCTACGCGCAGCATCGGGCTTCCGCTGTTGCGCCACCGTTGCGGGCAATATGTATGTCCATATCCATTGCGTACACTGGGGCTTCGGCTTCCCTCCCAAAACACCCGAGGAGCAGTGGATAGGGGAAAACATTCGGCCCCTCTGATGCTCTTTGTTATGTATATCCACTGCGCCTCCGCCTTTTGACGCCCCTGTCCCAGACAGTTTCACGACGCAGTGGATCTGAATATAGACCTTGCCCGCAAGCGCGCCGCGCGCTTACGGTGGGACTCAGCAAGTTTGTTTGGCAGTTCCCAAATATCTTGCTCATGATTCATGATTATGACAACGATGAACAAAAGGATCACCCAAGCGGACGGAACGACGAAGACGGCGCCTGAATCGAAAGCAGAACCGGGACCGGGGACAAATGGCGACGGAAGCGAACCGGAAAAAAAAAGAACCGAAAACAAGAAATCATAATTGGAGAAAGCAAGCAGCCCTGTGGTTTCGAAGGCCCATCCACTTGAGCCCCTCCCATGGTCTGAAAGCGGTCGCGCGGGGCCCTCGGTTTCCCCCAGCGTGGGCAACGTCTGCCTGACACACGTAGCTCCCGCTCTGGTAGGGTGGAAGGCAGAGGGAGGTACCCGCGTGGAGTCGCCGCTCCTCCTGCTACACATCCTCCTCCTCCTCCTCCACCTCCTCCTCCTCCTCCTCCTCCTCCTCCTCCTCCTCCTCCTCCTCCTCCTCCTCCTCCTCCTCCTCCTCCTCCTCCTCCCCCTCCTCGTCCTCCCCCTCCTCCTTCTCCTTCTCCTCCTCCGTCTCGCAGCGTATGTACGGACAGGGTGGGAGGAGGGAGGACAGCAGGAAGGCCTCCCCCCGTGAGGTGGAGCACCTCCTGACCGCGATCGACGCGGGCGCCCCAGCGCGGCCGGGCGGGTGCGGCGGCCCGAGCTCGCAGCTGGCAGGGGCAGCGTGGACGGGGGGTGCGGCGGGCTCAGCTCGGTATCGTTTGTCCGACCCCCATCCCCATGTCCACTCCCCTTCGAGGCCCCCGCCAAACTGCCACCCCAGTTGGGGTCTGCACCCCTCGAAGCCCGAAGGGAGCGACCTGTGTCCCCATCCAGGGGGGGCAAATCGGCCAGCGGGGCCCCGAGCACGCCGCTGGGGGTGGGGATCGGTGAAGCAATACTCATCAGCGGGGGGACGCACCGACCCCGAACTGCCCGGCCATCGAGCGTGGAGGGGGCGAGGGGGGCTCGGAGCAGCGTCGCGGGCGTCGCGGTGCAGCCGTAGCGGGCGCCGTTCCGCTCCACAGCTCTGCCACGCGTGCTTCGGCGCGAGTTCGCTCTCAGGGGGTGCATCGCATGAACGGGAAGAGCATGAGGACGAGGACGTGAGAGCCCGAAGAGGCGTTGAGGAGGAATAGGAGGAGGAGGAGGAAGAGGAGGAGGAGGAGGAGGAGGAGGAGGAGGAGGAGGAGGAGGAGCAGGCGCAGCAGGATGAGGAGAGCCCAAGGGGCGTTGAGAAGCAGAAGGAGGATGAGCCGGAGGTGGCGATCCTGGGCGACAGGGTGCCGACGCTCCTGATCCTCGCCGACAGGAACGGCAGGGAGAGCCAGCAGCAGGCGCGCGCGCGCGAGCGGGCACGAGGGCGCCCCCCCCCCCTCCCCCTTTTGCAGCTCAGCCGGGAGGGGGGGACCGAGGGGGGAGTCGAGAAAAAAACGGCATCAACAGTCAAGTTGTACGAGCTCCGCGCAGATGTCTTGGGTCTGCTGCACTGGCCCCCTCCCCCCCTGGCGTTGCCTCCCGCGCGCCGCCGGGGGCTCCAGCGCTTATGCAAGAGATCCACGCGGACCCTCGAAAGTTGGTACACATTGTTCGTTTCTAATTCTTCTAGAGTTCTTTGATTTTTTGGGGGCCAAGATCCTTTCATTTCTAATTGTTCTATCCTGGACCTCGTTCCTGGCCACTAGGGGGCCAGGAACAATTAGAAACGAGCGCAATTAGCAATGAGCACGATTAGAACTGAACGACGTGTATGTCCGCCGATGTCCCGCTGCTCGGCCTGGGCCCTCCCCCCCCACTCACCGGAGGAGCACGGGGAGAGCGACGACGACGACGACGACGACGACGACGACGACGACGACGACCCACGACGAGGACCCAGGACGGCGACGACTCAAGGCCCCGAGTCATCACGGCGATGACGGACGAGGAAGTTGCAGGGCGGCCGATGACGTCTGCGGAGGGAGCGGCGGGGCAGCACGGCGAGGACGGGGGGGGGGGCAGGAAGCACGGGGCAGGAGGGAGCCCAGTCTCCCCCGTCTGCCGCGACCTTCGAGCATCTGCTCCCCGCGGCCGCAGGCCGCGCGTCGCCGCGGGGGGGCCCGCAGCGCCATCTCGGCAGAGCCCGCCCCGGGCCTCCCGGGGCTCCTGCGCGCGCCGGGGCGCTTCTCCTCCCCGTCAGGTGGAGGCCCTGAAGCGCTTCAAGCTCGGTGTCCACGGCAGCGTACGCGTCTTCGTGACGGGGGGGGGGGCGCGTGGGAGGAGCGAGGATCGCGGCAAGAAAACGTAGGCAGGACCGGTCGAAGAAGAAGAAGCAATTGCATGTTAGCCAGCGTGGGCCCCAAACAGTGTGTTTCTAGCAACCTCAACAGTTTGTCGAATAATTATGGGGGTGGCAATTTACGTGGTACAATGTTAATGTACGTGGTGCACCCTGGGGGGTGCGACATGTGTTGTAACATCTATGTCTTGCCATGTATTCGTGCGATCTATGTGGTGCGACCTAATGTTGGGCAATAAAGGTCGAGCAAAACGTGTGGTGCAATGTTTGTGGTGCCATGTGTGTATGTGTGTGATGCAAGCTATGTGGTGCAACCTATGTGTTGCGATCATGTTGTGCAGTCTATGTGGTGCAAGATGCGTTGTGCAATCTATGTCGTGCAAACTATGTGGTGCAATCGATTTGCGAAATAGATACACATATATGTACGCAACACCACATTGTCGTCGCTCCGCGCGGATTTCTTGGATCGGCGCTGAGTCCCCCCAGCGGCGCCTCCGGCGCCGCCCCTGGCGCGCTCCGCGCGCTAGGGAGCGGGGTCCAGCGCAGATCCAGGAAATTCGCGCGGACCTCCCAGCGTTTGCGTGTACGCTGTAGTTCTTTGCTCTAAGAGGAGGAAAACAAACACAATGGGGATGGCATGGAGCCGCTGCGGGGGGGGGGGGGGCGCTGCGGAAAAAACTGTTTGGCCACGTGGCGCGCCTCTGCTGGGAAAGCGCAGGTACGGCTGTTCCGATCATGGTGAGAGTTGTTGGCCCAGCGTTTCAAGCGGGCAGCGATTGAGCAATGCCGGCAGAGTGGTTGGGGCAGTTTGGTCAATCAAAGCGGGATATGAATATGAATGAGCAGGAGGGTAAAGCGAAGAAGGAACATTGGAAGGAGCATTGAGACGGAGAAGGGATGAAGTAGGAGGAAGGGTGCAGAAACAAACTAGAAGGGAAACATGGAGTACGATTGAAGAGGAATTTCAGTGAGGAATGAGGAACGAGAAAAAGTTGTCCGAAGGTCTGACGGCACGTGCCGCCGACCCTGTATTCAAAGAGTGTCAAAAATAGTCGGGGGACGATTTTTTGAGCATTTTTTGACTCTGTTTGATATTTTTTGTATTTTCTATTTTTCGTCCATAATCCCCCTGTATGAGGACGTGCCCGACCTAATCCTATACATGTAAAGCGGCTCTGGGGCGTCCAAGCCATACTTGCCCAACACCGGGCCAGAACCCGAACTCGCTTCCTCGACGTGCAGCTTCCCCACCCGCTGAGCTCGGATCTCGGCCGATGGGGTACACAGGGGTCCGAGCCTAGGAGGCGGGGTCGAGGTTGACTTCGGGTGGAGACCCCTGCTGATCCTACTACGCTGGCTGGTTAACCCAGGATGCGTCTTGCTTTTGCAAGCGGCGGCAATGCCCGCTCGAGTCCTATAGTTTCCTGCACACTGGCACCACAACTGGTGCATGGCAAAGCAGGCGGGACACTCTCCGATCTTAGCTCCGCCGCCTGTCATGGCGCCAGCATCGCAGAGCAGATTTCGTTCGGAAAACCATAGGGTGGGCCCGGGGTGTCCTGGAGAATTTCGTTCCAGATTTCGATGTGAACTCCGTGCGGATTTTTTGGGTCAGGAATGAAGACCAAAAATAATCCACGCGAAACTCACTTCGTTTTTCGCTTGCCGCTTCGGGCAACAATCCACGCAGAAATCCGCTGCAGCACTTCTGCAAGCCCTTGAATAAGCCATTGCTGCAACGCGGGGCTCGCACTCCGAACGGCAGGGCTCGCCTGAGACTGACCTGCAGCATTTAAAAGTTCTTCAGGCAGTGCCTCACGACTTCTTAGGCGCTCCCTGGAAGCACAATGGGCATTCCACTCGCTGGCAACTTTCGCATCGAGTTGAGACTCATCTACTTCAAGTTCCAAGACAACATCAGCTGTGCCACCGACTCCTCCGGTGCCTGGAAAACTAGAGGCATGCAGACAGTGGTGCAAGCGGCCCTGCCGGACATCCACCTGCTCCATGCGCCTCTCACATGTTTCTTCGAAGCACACTCATCGGCCTGTTACCCCTGAGCTTCCATATATCGTCAACAGACGGGGCTTCCTGCCGCAACCGATAGGCCTTCACTTGTTCCTCCTTTGCAGACGAGCCTATCTTGGACCACCACAACGTCCACATGTGTTGCCGCTCATTTCGAAGGTCTAGCGCTTTGGCTGAGTCGCACATGAGACCGACCCTGCACAATCGTTGAACATTACTAGGGATGCTCCTGAGTGCCCCTCGCCAGGAGGAGAAACAGGACGAGGAGGATGTGGACGATGAGGATGAGTACGATGTCGACGGAGGTCCCAAGGCTTTGAGCAGCGATATGCGAACAAGGACAAGCAATAGGGCAGAGAACGGAAAGAGGGCGGGAGAAGGCAGGGAGTTGGAGAATGGACGAATGATGATTGGTAGTGGACGAAAGAAGGAGGAATCAGGACAGGAGGCGGAATAACGAAGCAGGATTGGGAAAGGTGGAGCGGGAGAGGGAGAAGGCATGGAGCCGTGGAGCGCGATGATACTCGTGGGGCGCGGGCGACCTGGATGATGAGCAGGAGCGGGGAGTGCAGGGGGATGATGCAGAGGACACGGATAGTCAGGGCATGTTTGGGGGGGGGGAGCAAGGAGGGTCATGAGGCTCAGGAGGAGGGGGACCGGTGGAAGGAGCAGCGAGGGGCGCGGTCACGAGGGAGTCGGAGGCAGGTTCGGAGGCTGCCAGAAGGGTTCGTTGGAGAAGGTTGGTTTCGCTGGACTCGAGGTCCCTCCAGCGCGACCTTAGGCACTCCAGCACGACCTGAGGCGCCCCAGCAGCCGTCGAAATCACCCTTCTTACACCAGACCTTCTCGCCGTCCTCGGAAGGGGCGGGGAGGTGCTGTACCTGCACGAGTTCGACTGGCTGTTCCAGGCCTGGGAGGTCAAGGACGCAGAGCCGACGCCCCCACGCGCGCTCGCAGAGGTCGCCCGTCCCCGCTCACCCCCCCCGAGGAGGAGGAGGAGGAGGAGGAGGAGGAGGAGGAGGAGGAGGAGGGGGAGGAGGAGGGAGAGGAGGAGGGGGAGGAGGAGGGGGAGGAGGACAAGCTAGGTGCGCTCGCGTCATATCTGACATCCGACCCCGCCCTCCCATCCCTTACCATGGCGTACATCCCCTCTCTACTCGCACAGTCGGATGTCGAGCAGAGCCATGATCCCGAAAGGGTACACGATGCATTGTAGAGCACGGCATGGCATGGCGTAGAAGAGCACCGCAAAGCGTAGTATCAACCTAGCATTGCATTGCATGCCGTGGCATGGCACGGGAAATGACGCCAGCGCTGCAGCGGGAGCACGAGTCGGAACGAGCGGAAGCACGGAAATGAGGCCAGCGCTGCAGCGGGAGCACGATTCGGAACGAGCGGAAGCACGGAAATGAGGCCAGCGCTGCAGCGGGAGCAGCATTTTGAACAAATGCAGGCGAAAACCCAATTCCGGGGAATCCTGTGTGTAAAAAGCAGTACGCGGGGGGGGCTAATATTTTCAAACCGTCATCAGGAAGAGGGAGAGTAGTATTCATATTGAGTAATTGTGCAGGAGGAGGAGGAGCAGGGGGAGCAGGAGGAAGAGGAGGGAGGAGGAGGAGGAGGAGGAGGAGGAGGAGGAGGAGGAGGAGGAGGAGGAGGAGGAGGAGGGGGAGCACGAGGGGTGGGAGGAGGAGGAGGAGGAGGAGGAGGAAGAACAAGTAGAAGAAGAGGAGGAGGAGGAGGAGGAGGAGGAGGAGGAGGAGGAGGAGGAGGAGGGGTCAGGCGGCCCGCTCTCCCCCCGCCCCCGTCGCACCGTTGGGGAGGGTTGAAGGCTTCCCGGCACGCGCGCGGCATCGCGTGGCCGACGTGGGCGGCACCTCGCGGTCCGTTGGGAGCACGGCCCAGGTTTCTTGGAGATCACAGGCGGCGAACAGATTCCTCTTCTCTTCCTCGAAGAAGAAAGTACGGCATAATCATAAACTTTCGACGGTCCGCGCGGATTTCTTGGATCCGCGTTGGGGCTTACTGGCGGCGCCTTTGGTACCGCCCCTGGCGCAGATCCAAGAAATCCGCGCGGAGCGTCGAAAGTTTATGTTTATGCAGTTTTTTCATCCTCCCTTCCTCTTCCCTGTGTCTCCCTCCGCCCGAGTCCAGGACTAATTCGCATTCCTTGTGCGTGCTGCACTTCCGGGCTTCGTCACGCTGTCACATTCCCCTCAGCTCTCCTCTTTCCCCTGAATGATCACGAGCGGCGAGCATACAGTCGGGCCAGATTAGTAGGTCGACCCTGCCAGCTCAAGGGTACCCTTGTGTCCCGTGCCTCGCGACCCGTGCCTTCCTACTCTCCTGTGGCGATGTGGCCCTCGGAAGGGTCTTGTGTCCTCTCGCGTGTCCTGTCCAATCGAGTCCGACTGTAGTCACGACCGGCGAGCATGTCCGCGTCCGCGCCCTCGTGGGCTGGAATCCGGGGCGCGAGCCCGTTCAGCGTTCCCCCTTTGGCAGCGCCGCGACTGCAGCCTCAAAGTCGGGCACGTCCCTCTACAGGAGGGAGATCCAAAACATGTGTTGGAATGGTCCTCCGGAGGCCGCAGGAGGAGGAGGAGGAGGAGGAGGAGGAGGAGGAGGAGGAGGAGGAGGAGGAGGAAGAAGGAGGAGAGGAGGTGGAGGAGAGGGGAGGGGAGGAGGAGGAGGAGGAGGAGGAGGAGGAGGAGGAGGGGGAGGAGGAAGGGGGGGGGGGGTGGAGGGGGAGAGGAGGGGGGGGTGGAGGGAGGAGGAGGAGGTCAGGAGGAGGAGGAAGAGGAGGAGAGGAGGAGGAGGAGGAGGAGGATGAGGGGAGGAGGAGAGGAGGAGGGGGAGGAGGAGGGAGGAGGAGGAGGAGGAGGAGGAGGAGGAGGAGGAGGAGGAGGAGGAGGAGGAGGCAGGAGGAGGAGGAGGAGGAGGAGGAGGAGGGGATGGCCGCAGGCGCCTGTTGTCAGTAGCCTTCGGGGCAGGGCCACGCCCTCTGCCTGTCTGGTTTCCTCCCCCCGTGAGAGCGCGCGCTGCCATCTCTTGCGCTGCTGATTCTCACCCTCTGTTGGCTGCGCTCCTCGTCTTCTCGCCTCCTCCTCCTCCTCCTCTTCCTCGTCCTTCTCCTTCTCCACGGCTCCTCGTCTGGCCGCGGCCGCCTCTCGTCTCCTCCCCTCCTCCTTCGGGGGTTCAAAGATTGGGTCCTGAGGGGTAGGAGTCTAGGGATGGGGAGGGATCCAAGGGTGGATACTTGCGTTGCTTCAGGCGCCTCGTCCTGTGGACCCCATCCCTCGGGTCCCCATCTTGGAGCCACCGACCCTCTGCATGCGGGGCAACTCGCAAACCGTAGCCCAGGTGGCCTGGACGCGCGTGCGGACTGCCTCTGTTCGGCCTCCGAGATGGGTCCCGAGCAGATGGGATCGGATGGTCGTCGCGCCGCATGTCCGATGCATCGACGATGTGGCTCGATGTGCAGCCCGATTTGCTTCACGTCGAAGTCGCCGATGCATCGCCCACGTCGACGATGCGTCGCCGGTGCATCGTCGACGCATCGCCGATGCATCGCCGATGCATCGCCGATGCGTTGGCGATGCGGCGCGATCCTCGGACCCCATCTGCTCGGACCCCAGCTGGGGGGCCTCTATCTTTGCATGCCAGGCAACTCGCAAACCGTAGCCCTGTTGGCCTGGATGTGTGTGCGGACTGCCTCTGTCGACTAGACGTAAGAGTGACCTGTCGCCAGAGTAACCTTTAGTGCGGGCCCAATGGTGCACCCCGACCGCTCAACGCGAAGCGGTAGCAGCGGCTTGCGCGTTTGGCTTTGGTCACCCCGCGTCCGCGCACCAAAGGGCATTCTTGCCTAGGGTCACTCTCGCGTACCGTCGACTCTGCCGCGCTGCAGCGCCAAAAGCTGGCCGTGCTCCATGCCCCAGCCGTGCGCGGCTGCCGGCGGCCGCCCTCTGCCTGAGGTCTGTCGGAGGCCTGCTGCGCTCGGCTCGGCTCCGCGCCCCCGACTCGATTCCGCGCTTCAGCTGGCACGCACCTCCTCGCCATCCTCACAGGAGACTGCTTTCAGGGTCCGGTGGTACAGTCGGCCCAGAGTAGCAGGGCGACCCTGCCTAATCAGGGCTACCCTTGTCTCCTGTGTCTCGCGGCCCATGCTTCCTACATGCCTGTGGCCATGTGGCCCTCGGAATGGTCTTGTGTCCTCTCGCGTGTCCTGTCCAAGCGAGTCCGACTGTAGACCTAGCTATCTCGAGTTCTGATGTTCCAGCCTACTCTAGCCCTCTGATCACCAGAAATAACTTCGAGCACCAAGGAAGTACCGCAACTGGAGGGTTTTCACGCGTCGGGCCCTAGGAGGCGATACTCGTTCGACATTGTTTCGATACTTTCCTGGGTGCTCGGAATTATTTCTGGGAGATAGTCCTTAAGTACGACGGGAGCAACCTAAACCTCGAAGGAGAAAGGGCGCCATCAACATTCGGGGGAGCGTAAGACCCGGGTTTGCCAGGACTCGGGTTCGCCATTTTTTTTTGACGACCGCGACTCGGATTTTGACGAGGAGGAGTTTCGTGGGATGTCTGCAGCGGGAGGCCTCGTCAAAATGCAGGCTCGGCCTCGTCATTTTTTTGACGATCTCGTCGGGGATTCCCGAGCCCTGTACCCGGGTCCCCCGAAACATGAGCTTACGGCGCTCCGCGCGAATTTCTTGGATCTGCGCTGGACCCCCCTCCGGGGCGCGCGGCTCTTCGTCCTGATGTAGTCTTTTTGACGGGCTCCGCTAAAGACTCCCGGAGGGCGACAAGGACCAGAAGCTCTCCGTCGACGCAGAACATGACCGACACAAGAACAGACAACAACAGCAAACACGACAAAAGTTTGCAGACGAGCCGCCCCTCCGAGGTACACCTGAGGCGATGCTTAAGAAAACCTAAGTTTTCGTCCAGAGTCTCGATTATTCTTAACTTTTCAATGTAAATCCCAAGATTTTGAATAGACATTCTGGGTTTTCATTCAGATTCTGAGACTATGAATTTCTTAACCCATGATTTCTTAAGCATTTCGCAGGGGGTAGCCCCGGCTGGCCCCAGCGGGGCTCTCCGAGCAGCCCGGGGCGGTCTCAACGCCCCCTGCGGCGCGGAGCGCCCCCGGGGGCGCCGCTGGAGGCCGCGCCGGGGCGCTGAGGCCGCCCCCGGCTGCTCGGGGGGGCCCTCTATAGAGGCCAGCCGGGGCTGCCTTTGGGGGAGGGCCTGTCTGCGCGCAACCTGGAGTCTCCTCCCTCCCCCTCCCTCCCTCCTCTCCCTCTCCTCTCCTCCTCCTTCTCCTCCTCCTCCTCCTCCTCCTCCTGCTCCTCCTCCCCTCCTCCTCCTCCTCCTCCTCCTCCTCCTCCTCCTCCTCCTCCTCCTCCTCACTGGTGGTTGTGTCTCGACGCTGCGCGGCGCGAGAGGGTCGTGGTCCCCAGGAGCTGCCGCGGCTGCTGTTCTTCGGGGCCGGGGGCGCGGACGGCCGCCACGTGGTGCCGGGGCCGCTGGAGCCCGAGGCGATCGCGGAGGCGTTCTCGAGGAGGCGCGGGCCTGCCCATCGGGGAGCACACAGTGTCATAAACATAAGCTTTCGGAGGTGCGCGCGGATTTCTCGGATCGCCGCCGGGGGGGCCCCAGCGCCGATCCAGGATCTCCGCGCGGACCTCCGAAAGTTCCTGTTTGTGGCATTTGGGTTGATCCTGGCAGCGCGACGCCACCCCTTCCGACAAGCGGTGGCGAAGCGCCCTGACCTGCCTGTAGGCCCTGTAGGCCCACAGTAGAATGTTACGTTGCCTCAGTTGCTGAAGGAGTGAGGGGCGTCAGCAGTTTGCGAGGCTCTGGAGAAGCCCGCCGCAGGCCCCTAGTTTTTTCACACATTGCACAACGAGCCCGCCGCAGGCGTGGGTCGCCCGGTTGGTCGCTGGGTGGGTCGCGGGTTGGGCCGCGGGGTGGGTCGCGGGGTGGGTCGTGGGGTGGGTCGCGGGGGGGGGGTCGCGTCCATGGACGACAACAACCACAACAACAACAACAACAACAACAACAACAACCAAGAAACACACAACAATACAACACATCATAACACAACACAGCAGCGCAGCAGCAGCACCAACAACGCAACAATGCAATAGCAAGCCGCACCGCGGAAGCCGACTTCAGCCACGCGCCCAGGGACAATGAATGACCCTTCGGCCCCCCCTCTCTCTGGTAAGTGCCTCTTGTGGCTTGTGCGAAATGTCATTGTATACCATCCCTGGCTGAGACAGTCTTGCTTCAAGACATTGGCTTCATGCTCGGATAGTGCATTGTTGGTTATGCTAGACGCGTCGCTGAACCCCCATCAACGCATCAACAAATCATGTTCGGGCGAGTTGCTCTGATCAGGGATGTGGGATGTGGAGAACCATTCAGCGGACTGAAGGGCTGCGAAGCCGTCATACCCCAACAGGGGGAGGAATTGGGAGAGGAGGATGAGGAGGGGGAGGGGAAGGAGGGAGGAGGTAGCAGGAGGAGGAGAATGAGGAGAAGGAGGAATACGCGGTTGAGGAAAAGGAGGAGGATGAGGAGGAGGAGGAGGGCGAGCAGAAAGGCCAGAGGCCTCTTGGATGCCGCTCGGAGTCTCTTCGGATGTCTCTTGAGAGTTTCTTGGGCTCCTCTTGAGGTGTCTTGGGGGCCTCTTGGCGGTCCAGTGGGCCTCTTGGAGCGTCTTGGGTGTCTCGTGGGAACCTCTTGGGGCATCTTGGGGGACTCTTTGGGGCCTCTTGGTGCCTTTTTAGGGGCCTCTTGGGGGCTCGTTGGGCCCTCCTGGGGTACTGCTGGAAGCCTTGGGGGGCCATCTCCGAGCCATCTTGGAGGAGGTCGATCACATACGGGGGGGTACTTCATTAGCGCCCCCCTCTAGAGTCCCTCTAACTTGCCTCCTGGCCACTCTTGGGGCGCTCTTGGGGCCACTTTGGGACCCTCTTATTGGGCTCATCTAGGGGCTCTCATGTGTCTTCTTGGAGCAGCCTTGAGGCTTCGGAGGGCCGTCGAAAGCGGAAAGGCGAGAAGGCACACGAGCATGGATTGAAGGGATTGGGCCGAGTGATTTCCCTGGGAAGCTTCCTGGCCAATTCGAGCCGTCTTGGGGCGGTCTCGGGGCCTCTTGGAGCATACCGAAGCCAGCTTGAGCCATCTTGAGTCATTTTGGAGGTCATCTTTGGCTCTCCGAGGCCCTCTTGGAGCCATCTTGGGCCAAACAAAAACGCTTCAAATACCCGCGGGGCGCCTCGTTTACGTCCAGGGGATGGGGTAACGAGAAGAGGGGTAAACCCCGCCCCGCAGGGGGACAAGGGGAATATGGAAGCGGAAACTCGCTAACCCACCTCCGCTCAGAGGGCTGGTGAGACTAAAACACTCTGTTCTCGAAGCGTGCCGTGGTAGGCCTACGGGAATGCCGGGACGATCGGCCCCGGCTCAAATTCACCTCCCCCTTTCCAGACTCCTTCGCGTCATGGACAGAATCGCAACGCCGCTGCACGCAATCTCATCCTTCCTCGCGCCAGGAGGCTGTCGGGCGAATGTTGGCGTCGCGCGCCAGGGGGTGGCTTGAGGGGGACACATTCTCCAAGAAGACGGGGAGGGGCTTCTATACGCACGCGTATGGCTTCTTGGGAGCCCTCCTGGCTTCCAAGAGGCCTCAGAGGGCGCAAGGCCCTTCTAAGAGGGCCCCCACGCTCTCGCGCCACCCCCAGGTGCGTGCCGCCAAGACGCTCGGCATCTCTCGGGCGTGTGCCTACGTTTCTCTCGGCGAGGCCCCTCGAGGAGCATCCTGGGTCGTCCAGGGGAGCAAACATTGAAGCACGCGCGAGACCGACAAAGGCACGGGGCATGGAGGTCCGAGCGACGGCAAGGACGGGAGGGGGGCGGGGTGAGGTGGCGGGAAGGGGGCGGCGGGAGCGCGCGCCCGGGGGGGACCAAGCCCGCGTCCGGCCCAGAGTTGCCACCCGCAGGGCCGGTTCCGGGTCAGTGGGCCTCTCGTCTTCTCAAGCGGTCTGCAGTGACGGGCCCGGACAATTGCAGAGGTCGGCAGCTGACATCCGAGCTCTCGAATGGTTCCGAGCGTTTGCTTGGAGATTTGCTTGTGCCTGGCCTAGAACAGGCAGGTGCATTTGGGCCCTTTCACTTTGCATATCGAACGGACCACAGTGCCAGAGATGTTATTGTATACGTTGTCCTCACGTGGCTTGACGCTCTCTGTTTAAGAGAACGCATAGCACTGTATTGTTCGGATGTCTCAGGAGCGTTCGATCGAGTGGCTGTTGATCGTCTTCTCTGAAAGATGCGGTCTTTTAGTGTTCCAGGGCCCAGCCCTGCATTTCTCCAGAAAGTTTGCTCCGACGTCGCGCGCAGGATGTGTTGCAGTTGGTGGTCAGGCTTCGCAGCCTTCCACCATGGAAGACATGGCGCACCAAGGCATTGACGGAGTCTGATGGGCGGCACCGCCGACTCTGACTAGCGAACCGCTGTCTGTGTGAGAAGCGTCTAATACGATCTGTTTTGCGAACTACGTAGCAGCGCGAGGTCGCTGAAACAAAAAAACACAAGGCATTGACGCAGTGTCTGTTTCGATGAGGTTGTCTATGCAGACGGAGGCAGCGCGTGGATGCAGCGCGGTCGCCCGGGGGGCCCGCTCCGCCGAGGCACGCCGGCCCATCAGGCTCGAAGATCCTCAGGACGTACGTTGGCCCAGTGTCGGAAGCCGGAACACATACATTACCAGTGGCGGGCTCTCTTTCAATCCCATGTCTTTTTGAGGGTCGGGGGCGACGTCGGGGTGGTGCGGTGTATACTTGTTCCCCGATTCCCCAGGGAAACAATGAAACATGTATACACCAGGATCCCATATACAACAGGATCCGCTTTCTTGTGAGAGTTTCAGCGCAGGGCCGGAAAAAGCGTTGGTGTATAGAGTTCGGTTTCCTACAATATGTGTGTGACCCCTTTTCAGCCCAACCAGCAGATCATTGCATCGCCTGCGTCGTGTCGAAGGTCTTCGTTGGACAGCACGCAGTGGGGCTAACACCAAGTCGGGCCTGTCCCTCTGCAGGGGGAATATTCAAAAATAGTATTAGAAATAGTCTGTGGACGATGTTTTGACTATTTGTCTATGCTTGCTGAATCTTTTCTTGACAAGTGTTTTCATTTTTCGTCCAAACTCCGCCTGTCGGGGGACACGCCCGACCTAAGGCTAACACGCGTTATGAGGATCATCGACAGGCGCCAGGGCCCGACCACGGAGCAGGGAGGCGGCGCGATGGCGCGTTTCTTCGCGCCGCCCACCCCCCCCTTCTGCGCTGCGTGAGGCCGGCGATCCTTCCTGCCCTCGCGCGCCCCCCCCTCTCCTGCGCCCCGCTTGGCATCGCTCGGGCGTGCGCATTTTTTTTCGGCGAGGACCATCGAGGGGCATCCCATGGATCGTCCGGCAAAAAGCAGGAGCGCGCCCGACGTCGAAGCATGCACGGAGAGTGGCCGCCCGAGCGATGGCATGCCCGCCTTAATTCCTCCGGCAAGCTTGCACCTGGCATGCATGGAGGGGGGGAGGCCAGCAGGGAGGCTGGACTTCTCGCGAGTCGAGACTCGCTGGCACGTTCGTTCGACCCAGGGACGTCTCCAGGGGCGGCGGAGTGGGGGGGGGAAGCGAATTGCAAGAGGCACATCAGCTGGCATCCGCGCAACGCAGATCACCCTCGTTCCGCCTGCTCTGGTTCCGCGCTGCCTCGCGCACCGCGGACCCTGTTGCGTCCCAGGGGGGACCCAGGAACTGGCCCAGAAAACAGCAAGGGAGGCCGGGCGCAGGAGGGAGGCACGGACGGACAAGGGGCTCGAAGGGAGAAGGGGGCCCTGGCGGTCGGAGGGCGATGTCGTTGGATCAGGAAATGGCTGCGACAACACAGACGCTCGCAGCTCTGTGCGATCTCCTGGGTCTGCGCCGGGCCCCCCTGGCGGCGCCGCCTGCGCCGCCCCCTGGCGCGCCCCGCGCGCCAGGGAGAGGGGCACAGTGCCGAGCCGAGGCATCCGCGGGGAGCTCCGAAAGTTTTGGTTCCTCTAGTCTCAGGTCGGGCCCGTAGGAATATTCTAAAGTAATCCAAAATAGTATGGTGACTTTTGAAAAAATGTTGTTTGGCCATTTTGGAGCATTCTTGAAGTATTTTTTATTATTCGTCGACAATCCCCCCGGCGAGCGCGTGCGCGGAGGCTCGCGGTGGACCTCTCCTGGGCCGACTTCGACCCAAAGAAAGAGACCCCGCCGGGCGCAGTGGCTGAGCAGCGGCCTCGGGAGCAGGTGGGAGGAGGGAGTCAAGTAGGAGGAGAAGGAGGAGGGGGAGGGGGAGGGGGAGGAGGAGGAGGAGGGGAGGAGGAGGAGGAGGAGGAGGAGGAGGAGGAGGGAGGAGGAGGAGGAGGAGGAGGAGGAGGAGGAGAGGAGGAGGAGGGAGGAGGAGGAGGAGGAGGAGGAGGAGGGGAGGAGGAGGAGGAGGAGGAGGAGGAGGAGGGGGGGAGGGGGAGGAGGGAGGAGGAGGAGGGGAGGAGGAGGAGGGAGGAGGAGGGAGGAGGAGGGAGGAGGAGGAGGAGGAGGAGGAGGAGGAGGAGGAGGAGGGGGGAGGGGGAGGAGGAGGAGGAGGAGGAGGAGGAGGAGGAGGAGGAGGAGGAGGAGGAGGAGGAGGAGGAGGAGGACGAGGAGGGGGAGGAGGAGGAGGAGGAGGAGGAGGAGGAGGAGGAGGAGGAGGAGGAGGAGGAGGAGGAGGAGGAGGAGGAGGAGGAGGAGGAGGAGGAGGAGGAGGAGGAGGAGGAGGAGGAGGAGGAGGGAGGGAGGGGGGGAGGAGGAGGAGGAGGAGGAGGAGGAGGAGGAGGAGGAGGAGGAGGAGTAGGAGGAGGAGGAGGAGGAGGAGGAGGAGGAGGAGGAGCGGGAGGAGGAGGAGGAGAAGGAGGAGGAGGAGGAGGAGGAGGAGGAGGAGGAGGGGCGAGTAGGTGGGACGATTGGGGGGGGGGATGATGTGGAGGCAGCACCTTGGATGGCCCGCACTCCGACATGCACATAATTGTCAGCGCTTCTGTTCCACGCGCGGATCAGGCTGCATCTATGGCTGCTGGTTCTTCGCAGGGATGAGCTGTAGAGTTGATCGTGGCCCCCGTTTTCCGAAGGTCTGTGCGCAATTGCGCCTCGACTAGCACATTGCTCTGAGGATTGGCGCAAACGTGTGCAGAAGGCATGCGGCAGTCGCCATTCGCTTGGGGAGAACATTGTCCCCGGTTTACGTTTACCCGACCCGCCGTCGTCATTCAGAGGTTAAGCAGAGTTTGTTGTCGTGGAGAGCGTGGGGATACTGGCCCGCTGTGCTACTTTCATCGATGGTGCTGGGTTGACTTGTTATTATTTGTGCAAGACTGCGGGTTTGTGCTGGCCTGTCACGTCAGCGTGTGCAGTAGGGTGTGCAACGCCGTGCGTTGTCATGTGGCAGCCATCGGCGGCCTTGCACGTCGGCGTGCACCTCCCCTTCACCGAAGCCGCCATCCTCCGAAATGCAGAGCAGGACAAGGATTACGAGGAGGATGGGGGCTGTCATCGTCAGCAAGACACCTGCCAGCACGACGCCAACCGACACTGGCGCCGGAACCAGCTCCAGCAGGGAAGTTCGCTAGTACTGTCTGGCCTTTGCTTTCCCCAGCACGTGTACGCATAGAGAGGTCACGGCCTCGACGCTCTGGCCCACGGAGACAAGGACCATGTCCTGATGAGAGTGCGAATGCGAGAACAATTCTGGATCAGTATCGCGAGGACGAGCAATATCTGGCGGGGGAAGGAGGAGGAGGAGGAGGAGGAGGAGGAGGGGAGGAGGAGGTGGGTCAGAAGCGAAACATGATGAGCGGAGCCAGCAGGATGCAGGAAAGGTAGAAGGATGATTGCAAAGGTGAGAAGGAGGGACGACGAAAAGGAGCGACAGCAGCTTGCGCAAGAGGAGCTGCATGAGGAGCCCGAGATCTTGACAAGAAAGGGGCGCTGGAGGGAGGAGTAGGAAGGGACGATGAGGAGAAAGAGGAGGTGTGGGAGGGCCCCGGACATCTGACACCGCGCTTGCGCCATGTTTGACATCCTACCTTCCCCCCATCCCCTTCTCATGTCGGTGATTCTTCTTTATCCGCGCCCGCGTATCACAGCGGGCCTGGAATTCCAGAAAAGGACATTGTCGTGTGATGCACAATCGCCAAGGGGAAAACGGGAGCTGCGCACCTTGGAGGAGGAGGTGGCGGATGAGCAGGAGGATGAGCAGAAGGAAATTGAGCAGAATTAGAGTAATAAGAAAATTGGTAGGTCGAGGAGGAGGAGGAGGAGCAGGAGGATGATGATGAGGAGGAGGAGGTCGAGGAGGCGGTCGAGGAGTTGCATGAACATGACCTTTTGGAGATCCGCACGGATTTCTTGGATCCGCGCCCAGCCCACCCTGGCGGCGCCGCGCGCGCCATGGGGGGGGGGGGGGGGGCAACGCGCGGAACCAAGAAATCTTCGCGGACCTCCAAGGATCTTCAGAAATCTTCGCGGACAAGTCTCTAGATTTTCGCGGACCTCCAAGGACCTCCAATGATTTTCAGATCCTTGCGGACCTCCCAAAAATCTTCGCGGATACAACATCGTCGCGGACCTCCAAGAAATCTAAGAAATCTTCGCGGACCTCCATAAGATGATGTTTACATGTTTTTGTTCCTCCCAGGACGAGCAGGAGGACAAGGAGGTGGGCGAGGACGAGCAGCAGCAGCAGGAGGGGAGGAGGGAGGTGGGCGAGGAAGGAGAAGCAGCAGGCGGGGAAGGAGGATGAGGATGAGGAGGAGGAGGAGGTGGAGGAGGAGGAGGAGGAGGAGGAAGGAGGACAAGGAAGGAAGAGGAATCCGTAGCCATTTCGGCTCGTGCCTGGTGCCAGGCCTCATTGCCGTTGGCTCGACGGGCGTGGGGCGCAAGGCATGGATGGCGACGGGAAACTGAGCAGACTTATAATAATATGAAAATTTGTAGGTCGAGGAGGAGGAGGAGGAGCAGGAGCAGGAGGATGAGGAGGAGGAGGAGGAGGTCGAGGAGGCGGTCGAGGAGTTGCATGAACATGACCTTTTGGAGATCCGCACGGATTTCTTGGATCCGCGCCCAGCCCAGCCTGGCGGCGCCGCGCGCGCCAAGGGAGGGGGGGGGGGGGGGGGGGGGGGGGGGGCAAAGCGCGGAACCAAGAAATCTTCGCGGACCTCCAAGGATCTTCAGAAATCTTCGCGGAACAAATTCTAGATCTTCGCGGACCTCCAAGGACCTCCAATGATGTTCAGACCCTCGCGGACCTCCCAGCAATCTTCGCGGACACATAATCGTCGCGGACCTCCAAGAAATCTAAGAAATCTTCGCGGAGCTCCAGAAGATGATGTTTACATGTCTTTTTCCTCCCAGGATGAGCAGGAGACAAGGAGGAGGGCGAGGACGAACAGCAGCAGCAGGAGGGGAGGAGGGAGGTGGGCGAGGAAGGAGAAGCAGCAGGCGGGGAAGGAGGAGGAGGAGAAGGAGGAGGAAGAGGAGGAGGAGGAGGAGGAAGGAGGACGAGGAAGGAGGAGGAGTCCGTAGCCATTTCGGCGCGTGCCTGGTGCCAGGCCTCATTGCCGTTGGCTCGACGGGCGTGGGGCGCAAGGCATGGATGGCGACGGGAAACTGAGCAGAATTAGAGTAATAAGACAATTGATAGTCGAGGAGGAGGAGGAGGAGCAGGAGGATGAGGAGGAGGAGGAGGAGGAGGTCGAGGGTCTGAATCCCGTAGAGCCTCAAGAGGCCCCTGAAGTTCTCAAACTTCCACACCTCTCTCTCCGGGGATGTCCAAAACTGATGTTCACGATTTCTAAGTAAATCAGAATCCTTCTCCACACGATGAGCACCTTTTGCTTTCCTGAGACGATCGCGGCCCCAGCAGCGCGATCTGTGCAGCTGCAGTCAGCTGTCTAGATAAAACAGGCCCGCCCACCCACACCTTGAGCCAGTGGGCGGCGGTCACAGAACACGGCAGACCATGACCTCACAGAGAAGCCTCTAGATTTGTACTGCATAAACAACTGCTACTCTGTGTCCCTTTCAGACAGGCGGAAAAGAAACTGCCGTGTTCACGGGGTCGTCCTGACCCTGCCGAGAGCTGCTCGGCGTCACGTTGCCATCCTCGGTCTGTATCTCCCTGGAGAGCTCCTGCTGCTGCCTGGACTTCCGGCGCTCTTCGAAGACCTGTTTGGCGGCCACAGCGTCCTCGGGCTTCGTGGTGTCGAAGATGCCCTTCCCGAGGGCGGCCCGTTTCCGAGCACTCATGAAGTTCTCGTCGTATATGAGCCTCCGCTCCTGCTTCTCCAGGAACAGCTTGAGGACACCAAATGCTTGCCAGTTGCCCTTTGTGAGCCCGTCCGCGATCTGCGCGTGAGAGTGCACCCACCTGACCACGGTCTTTCCTTCATCGAGTGCGTTCCGAAGAGCCAGGGCCTCGATCGCTGTACGTCGCTCCTCGAGCCCGAGTCCACCCGACTGCGACCGTACCACCCGGTCGTAGAACGCCTTGCAGTCCGTGATCAACACTGCCGGCAAATGATGAAGCATCGTCATCTTCTCCTGGATGGGAGACTTGTCTAGCAGGATCTCGGCCAGCACCATCCGCACCATGCATTGTTCGCCTTCAGCATCTCCAGCTTCCTGAACTTCTGCGGCCAGGCTTGAGCGGGCCACGCGTGGAAGTTTCTTGGAGCCCCAGTCGAGCACTGTGAACTGCGACTTCTCGCCGTCCATGGCCTTTGTGGCTGCAATGGCGGTGATGTAGCCTCCTTGTGAATGACCATCTGGCCGACTGGCCCAGGCGGCATCGCACCACGTGAAGACGGCCAGATCGTCCAAGTCATGGCGGTGGACCTGAAGTCCCATGTGTTGGTTCTGCTTGATCAGCTTGACGATGTTGTTGGCGGCGGAGAACAGACTGTGGCTGCCCTCAGGAATCTTCGACTGGAGCTCGGCGACCCACGCGAGTAGGAAGGGCATGGTGTTGACGCCCAGCCAGTAGACCTCCCCGCAGAACGCACGCAGCACGGTCTGGTCCTTGTCGCGCAGTTTGTCTGTCGGTCGGTGCCGTCCGCCATCGGGTGGCCGTACTTCGGTGATCTTGTCGGCGTAGGTGCGCTGGTGCAAAAAGAATCCCATCTCGTTCTCCTCGATGGTGACTCCGCACTGCTCCAGGCTGGTGATACCGTCGTTCATGTCCTCCCAGGTGCCCCACTTGTAGAGCTTCCGGGTCTGAGACACGATGTTGGTCCACTTGGGGCGAGCAGTGTCACCTGCCAGGATGAAGTCATCCACGTGCGCCATGACCATACCGATGAGGCGTCTGGTCTGTGGGCACCGCACCTGCCACATGCACGGCTCCAGCTCGCAAGGCTGCAGTCCCAGCGTCTTGAAATCGACTTTCACCGTCTCCCACCAGTGACGTGGGGCCTCCCCGATGCCGTGCCCGGGCTTGACGACGCGTAGGAGCTCGCCCTCCTTCACCTTGAAGGCCTTCTGCAGCACGGCGTCGGGTTCGATGAATAAGTCCTTCTCCAGTTCGTTCGCCTGCAGGAATGCCGAGGTGACGTCGCCCTTGATCAACTTCCAGTTGTGCGCAGCCGCGATGGTGAGCATCACGTTGCGAGCCCGTCTAGAGGCAGTTGGGCTAGCCGTAGGTTCCTTCCCGAGGTCCTTCGTCTGGTAGCCGAGGAGCACGAGTCGCGCCTTGGCCCTGCCGTCCGCCTTCCTCGTGAAGAGCCACCGCGCCCGGATGATGTCGGCGCTGTCTTTGACCTCAGACGTTGGTATTGGTCGGAGTCCTCGGTGCTGAAGCCAGTTGTCCGTTTCCTTAGAGATAGCCACCTCGAACTCTGCCCTCTCGGATGCGTTCATCTTGGACCATGTGAGCTCGAGCTTGTCCTTCCGGCGCTGGTTGGCGACGAAGCTGTTGAGAACTGCCTCCATCGTGCGCTTGTCGGCGCTCCTGTCGGCCCCCTCGCTCTTGATGTACTCGAAGTAGACTGTCTGATGCTCGTCTACCCCCAGGAGAATGTCCAGGTCGTCCTTCTGAAGGTCCACCAAGAGCTCGCTCTCGTCCATGTCGTTGTTATCCTTCCGACGCTTCTCCGGCGGCTGATAGCGGTCCAGCTCTGGTCCACGATGTGTCATGCGGTACCGAGGGCGCGCTGGCGATGACGACGCAGAAGGTTCCCCTGGTGCTGCTGGCGTTGCTCCTCCAGTGGCTGGTGCTTCAGCTGGAGGCAGGGTCAATGGCGGAGGCGGTTGAGGTATCTCTGCTCCTGCGGGTGGTACCATCTCCAGGTCCGGTGCGTCTTCGGAGGGTTCGCCTGGTTCAGCTTCAGGTTGAGCCATGGACCTCGGTGTAGTGTGGCTCGACTCCGGTATATTCGTTTCCTCCTCCGTGGCAGCGGCAGGTGGCGCTTCTGCCCCATCTCCTGGTTGGAACGCCTCGGTTGTCCTCGGGGGCTCGTACGCTGTGAGGTCCGGGCGGCGCTGCTCCACCAGGTCCTCGAACGTCCCAGCCTTGGCGGTCTCCAGGATCTCTGTCATGGTCTTCCCGAGGGAGGCCTGCTTCTTGAGTTCGGTCAGCATCTTCTCGGCTTCGGAGGCTGGTCGTAGATGCTCGGGTGCGCACCTGATCAACGTGTTCCCGTGGGCGATCCAGACGACCGAGGTCGCCCGAGTGCGGCCGTCGATATGACGTTTTTCTTGGACAAGTACTCGTGCAGGTCCGTACCAACCTCCTTTCTTGCCAGGTCGGTTCTCCCGTCCCTTGCCGTCGCGCCAGAAGTGCACGAGGTCGCCGGCCTCCCAGGTCTGGTAGATGCGGTTCCTGGCCTGCTCTGCATGGCGTCGCCGTTCTGCGTACTCGCACTCGAGGTAGCTCTGGCGGGCCAGAAGTCGCCTCTGCTCCTGTGTCTCGCCGGTGTCCCCGTCGATGATGGCGAAGGGGTTGTTCGTGGGTGCCATCCCTGTTACGCCCAGCACGTGCTCGAACGGGGAGTGATTCCCCACCTTGTCCATGGAGTTGATCGCACTCACGGCCCAGGTGACCAGCTCCTGCGTGCTGCAATCGGGGTCGTGGGTGGCCATCTTCGTCATGAGGCGCTTGAAGAGCTGCATGCGACGTTCCACCTTGCCCATGGGAGCCAGTGCGCCTCCCCAGGTGCAATCCATATCTCGATCCCATGGTCGGATGCCCACTTCGCGACTGCCTGAGAGCAGTGGCACCCTTCAGGGTCCATGCGAAGGAGGGCAGGTTGACGGTAGTGGCTGCACCACGATTCCCTCGTAGAGATCACCTCGATGGCTGATCGGTTGCCGCTGCGCTCACCCTTCTGCCCGTGGTAGGTGACGCTGGTGAGGCCGGACCCCTCGTCGAGGTTCAGGGTCATGATGTGGGGGGGTTGCTGAGGTGAGAGCCACTCCAGTCCGTCCGTGGCGAGGACTTCCAGCACGCTCGGAATCTCCACGCCTGAAGCCACTCGTACAGCTTTGGGGAGCTTCCCGATATGGCAGCCATGGCATTGAAATTGAAGTGCCAGTCGGAGTGCAGGGACCGCTGCTCCAGAGGTCTTGAGAATCTTGTAGAGTGTCTTGTTGCTGGGGTGCCCCAGATTGCGATGAAGTCGCGCGAGTCTCTGTTCGATCTCTGAGATCTCTTTCTTCGACAGCTCCGTTTTGACGCCCAAGCCTTTGAGGGACGCCTCGGCGGTCTCCATCTCGATGTCCTCCTCCGTGTTCAGCTCCTCTAATTCGCCCGACATCTCGACGTCGTCCTCCTCTGGAATCTGCTCCAGGCCCGCGTAGACCTCCTTGCCGTACTGGGTGGTCACGTTCTTCTTGAGGATGTGTTTGGCCCAGGCTCGGCGCATGGCAGGAGGATAGAAGGCTGTCTGAGCCACCAGAGGTCCGTCCTCGATGACACGATGTAGATGGTTGTCTCCGCGTCCCGGTCGGTTGCCGCAGAGCCGGCCCACCTTTGCTCCAAAGTCGGGGTCAGTAGAGCACACTCGCCACCCCTTCTTCACCAGGAGTCCAGACCTCTCGTCACGAAGTCCGTAGGCACACCCATGAATGATCGTCTCGTACATCTCTGACCGCATCTTCTTGATGGAGGGTGACTTCGACCAGCTGCGGCTGTTCCAGGGCTGCTCTAGCTCGATGTGGCAATCGACTATCTTCTTCGCCTCCTCGTACAAAGCCAGACACCCCCGCTGGATCCTGCGCGCCTGTCGGATCTTGTTCGAGAGCTGCTTCCTCTGATTCTCCGTCTTCTGGTTCAGGTTCTGGATGGGACAGTCTGCGGTGCACGGTGGGCTCAACACCAACCGTCGAGGTCGTGCCAGGCGAAGAAGATGCATGGCCCTGCGGACTCCTGTGGCCGTGCCCATGTCATAGCCGTTGAAGAGCCCACACCGTATCACCCTGCCGTGCTGCGCCTCCACCGCCTTGCCGAGCGACGACTCGCTCGGGCAGCGCACCTCCATGAGGTCCGCGCGCTTGGTCTTGGTCAGGGTGACGGTGTCCTCGCCGATCTCGAAGTAGATCTGGTCCATCACCTTGGTCTGCGCCTGGTAGAACGTGGTGAGATCCGAGTCATTCAGGGACTTCAGCGGCCCCGCTTCTTCACGGTCTCCGTCGCCTCCGAATCGTCCAGCATGCTGTCGTCCGGCGCTGGCAGAAACACCCAGGGCCCCGCGGGGTCGCACTTCGCCAGCTTCGACGCCAGACGCTTCCACCGCATCGCCATGGCCTGGCTTCGGATGTCTCCTAGCGCTTCGCTGTGGGGTTCCCTCTCCGAGGTCGAGTCGTCCGGACGCAGGCGTAGGCATCGATGACTCTTTCCTCCGCGGCAACTGCATCCCGTGATCGCCCAGTTGGGCGCCTTGCAGCATGAGCACCTCGATCGAACTGTTGAGCTCGGTGGTGTCGGAGGCGGTGGCGGTGGTTGCAGCGGTGGCCCTGCTGATGGGGTCGCCGGCACCGGGGAGCCCATCTCCAGGAACACTTCGGGAGGCGTCGCCAGTAGGGCAGCAGGTGGCCATGCAGGATGAGGTCCATGCAGTGCCTGGAGTTGAAGGCAGTAGTGTGATATGCCGCCGTTGCAGCTGCATCCCCTCCGAGTCCGTCCCACAGCTCCGCAGCACTGGCATCGTCCGGGTGGCTGGTACTGCACTGGTGATCCCGTTGGACTGTTGATCGGCATCTGCTGTGGTGGTGTTGTCGATGCCGAGCCCGCTGTCGAAGGGGCTGGCGTCGGCGTGGCAGGTGAGGATCCTGCCCGAGCCCTCGGACGCGCCCACTCCGGTCGCGCCGACGGCGGCTGTTGTCGCGAAGAAGAGTCTCCACATGACATCAGACGCGTTCTGACATGTAGGATATGGAAAAGCTGAACTGTTGGGAATCTCGGAAGCTCCTGCGCAACATTCTTGGGCCACACGAGGCTGAGGACTACCATTTGGCTTCTTGGGGTTCTGTTCGGGGTTCTCCTCTGGCAGGTGCATCTCGTTTCTCTCGGTAGGTCCCCAGAAGCTCACCCTAGTTGTCATCTGGGTCCCCCTAGACTTTTCCCTCTTACTAGAACCTCTCGTCGCCTCCGAAGTCCCTGAGAGTGTCCAAGAGCTCCCCCGAGTACTCGGACTCCGTGTCGCCCCTGACGGTCCCGAGAGTGTCCCCCGCCTTGTCCCACTCGAACCCCTGGTCGTCATCGGTCTCGGGCCGGGGCTGCTCGAACGTCGAGACGTCGTGGGTCTTCTCTCGGTCGTGCATTGCGTCGCTCTCGGTCGGCTCGAAGGGGGCTGGCTCGAGGTCTCTCCTGGAGATGTGGACCCTCTCGAGGTCATCGAGGTTCCCTGGACGTGGCGGTCTCCTGGACTGGGAAAAGAACCTGGGCTCCTTGAGCATCTTTCTGTTGGCCCCCCCGATGATAAGGATGACGATGGAGATGATATCTTGCTCGCCGACATCACCAGGGGGTGCTGTCCCTAGCGCGCGGCGAGACAGCCAGCGCAGCCCGTCACGGGCTCCTCCGGCTTCTCATCCAGCACGATGGAGCCCCGCCTTGTCATGTTGACGTGGCAGCTCTCCAGGGACAAGGGTAGAGAGACCTCGCGCCACCACTGCGGTGTCGAGAGGTTGATCGCCAGGTGCTTGCTCGAGAGCCTCTCGCAGTAGTAGACCTTGTTGCCCAGCGTCGGAAACCCGATCCAGTTACGGCCGCAGTCGACCACTACCTTCAAGGCGTCCGTCAGGATGTCCATGCCCAGGAGAATGGGGACGTTGTTCGCCATCACTGAGAGGCTGATGTCTCGGAGCTCCGGTCCCAAGTAGGCGCGTCCAGAGACCGTTCCCATCGAGCTCTTCTGGGGCCCGTCGCCGAAAGTGAAGGAGCAAGTGTCGTCGTGCGCCTCGAACTCCACGTCGTGCATCACCATCATCTCGTACATGAGGTTCTCTACGCTCTCGACGCCACCGAGACTGCGCGTAGCTCCAATGTCCAGCACGGCCCAGATCCCCTCGCGCTCAAGCAGGTAGACGCACTCGTCCAGGGCCGACAAGATGAAGCCGTTGTGCGTGTTAGTAGTGCCTCCAGTGGCGCCGCTCCCGACCTTGCCACGGTCGGGACAGTCTCGAGCTCGATGTCCGAACTGTCTGCGCACGATGCACTTCATCTTGGACAGATCTCGCGCACTTTCGAAGCGAACTCGCCGACCTTGTTGTCCGCGTCCACGTCCTTTAGCCTGTCCTCGGGGCCGCCACTTAGCGTGAGGCTTCGGCGGTGGGGCTTGTCGTCCATCTTCTCGCGGAACCACCACCAGGTAGTAGTCCCTGTCTACTCGTACTTGTCGAAGGAGATCCCTGGCATCCTTGAAGCTCCGGCCAGCTTGGCGAGACTGCGCGAACACCTCGTTGTCCGCCTCCAAGTCGTCGGGCTCCACCTCCTCGTTCTCGTCCGCAAGGTTGAGGGGCTGCTCGGCCAGCTCGTAGATCTCCTCTGCTTCCCCACCAGTCTCGCCCTCGTCCTCCTCAAGTCGTTCTCGAACAACCGCCGCTCACGCTTGACTTTGCCATCCAGCTCAGCAAGGGCCTCCGCTGGGAAGCGCGTGAGCAACGTCTTGTAGGTCTTTCCGTAGTTGAAGTCCCCTCCCGCGGTCGCCGTCACTTCACCTCTGAGCACGGGGGTGAGTCTCGACTTCCGCAGGAACCACCAGGTGCGAAGAGGTTTCGCTATCACTTCTTTCACGTCCAGGTCGATGGCCTGCAGTTGGGTCAGCAGCTCCCTGTCCTTTTTTCTCGAACGGGGCCGCCCAGTCCTGGAAGGTCTCTCCAGAGTTGCGGCCTATCTTCAGGAAGAACTCCTCGGCCAGCAGACCCGTGTCGTTGAGGCTGGTGTAGTCCAACTTCTCAAGCACACAGCTGAACACCCTCTCCCAGCCGACCAACTTTCCGTTGTCATCCACCTCGTCTACGTCGTTGATCGAGGGGCAGCTCTCCACGGCGTTCCGAACCCGCGGCCCAAGCGCCCGGACCAGCTGTGGTCCGCAGACGTAGCGGCCGTTCACTCTGATGCTCTTCGCGAACATCGACACCTCGAAGCGGTAGTTCGACAGCTTCTCTGCCTCACCGTTCCAGGAAGGTACCTCGACTCGTGATGGTGCCGATGTCCCTGTTGGCGTTGTCATCGTGACGAGACTGGTGGGAGCCCGTGGTGCGTTTACCACAGGCTCCGCTACCAATCTGAATCCCGAAGAGCCTCAAGAGGTCCCTGAAGTTCTCAAACTTCCACACCTCTCTCTCCGGGGATGTCCAAAACTGATGTTCACGATTTATAAGTAAATCAGAATCCTTCTCCACACGATGAGCACCTTTTGCTCTCCGGAGACGATCGCGGCCCCAGCAGCGCGATCTGTGCAGCTGCAGTCAGCTGTCTAGATAAAACAGGCCCGCCCACCCACACCTTGAGCCAGTGGGCGGCGGTCACAGAACACGGCAGACCATGACCTCACAGAGAAGCCTCTAGATCTGCATTGCATAAACAACTGCTACTCTGTGTCCCTTTCAGAGAGGGGGCGGTCGAGGAGTTGCATGAACATGACCTTTTGGAGATCCGCACGGGTTTCTTGGATCCGCGCCCAGCCCACCCTGGCGGCGCCGCGCGCGCCAGGGGGGAAAGGGGGGTGGGGGGGGGGCAAAGCGCGGAACCAAGAAATTTTCGCGGACCTCCAAGGATCTTTAGAAATCGTCGCGGAAGATTTTTTAGATCTTCGCGGACCTCCAAGGACCTCCAATGATTTTCAGATCCTCGCGGACCTCCCAGCAATCTTCGCGGACGCAAAATCGTCGCGGACCTCCAAGAAATCCAAGAAATCTTCGCGGACCTCCAGAAGATGATGTTTACATGCTTTTTTCTCCAAAGATGAGCAGGAGGACAAGGAGGAGGGCGAGGACGAACAGCAGCAGCAGGAGGGGAGGAGGGAGGTGGGCGAGGAAGGAGAAGCAGCAGGCGGGGAAGGAGGATGAGGAGGAGGAGGAGGAGGAGGAGGAGGAGGAGGAGGAGGAAGGAGGAAGGGTGCAAGGAAGGAGAAGGAGTCCGTAGCCATTTCGGCTCGTGCCTGGTGCCAGGCCTCATTGCCGTTGGCTCGACGGGCGTGGGGCGCAAGGCATGGATGGCGACGGGAAACTGAGCAGAATTAGAGTAACAAGAAAATTGGTAGGTCGAGGAGGAGGAGGAGGAGGAGGAGGAGGAGGAGGAGGAGGAGGAGGAGGAGGAGGAGCAGCAGGAGGAGCAGGAGGATGAGGAGGAGGAGGAGGTCGAGGGGGCGGTCGAGGAACTGCGTGAACATGACCTTTTGGAGATCCGCACGGATTTCTTGGATCCGCGCCCAGCCCACCCTGGCGGCGCCGCGCGCGCCAGGGGGGGGCGGGGGGGGGGGGCAAAGCGCGGAACCGAGAAATCTTCGCGGACCTCCAAGGATCTTTAGACATCTTCACGGAAAAGTCTCTAGATCTTCGCGGACCTCCAAGGACCTCCAATGATTTTCAGATCCTCGCGGACCTCCCAGAAATTTTCGCGGACGCAAAATCGTCGCGGACCTCCAAGAAATCCCAGAAATCTTCGCGGACCTCCAGAAAATGATGTTTACATGTGTTTGTTCCTCCAAAGATGAGCAGGAGGACAAGGAGGAGGGCGAGGACGAACAGCAGCAGCAGGAGGGGAGGAGGGAGGTGGGCGAGGAAGGAAAAGCAGCAGGCGGGGAAGGAGGATGAGGAGGAGGAGGAAGAGGAGGAGGAAGAGGAGGAGGAAGGAGGACGAGGAAGGAGGAGGAGTCCGTAGCCATTTCGGCTCGTGCCTGGTGCCAGGCCTCATTGCCGTTGGCTCGACGGGCGTGGGGCGCAAGGCATGGATGGCGACGGGAAACTGAGCAGAATTTGGGTAGTAAGAAAATTGGTTGGTCGAGGAGGAGGAGGAGGAGGAGGAGGAGGAGGAGGAGGAGGAGGTCGAGGGGGCGGTCGAGGAGTTGCATGAACATGACCTTTTGGAGATCCGCACTGATTTTTTGGATCCGCGCCCAGCCCACCTCGGCGGCGCCGCGCGCGCCAGGGGGGAGGGGGGGTGGGGGGGCAAAGCGCGGAACCAAGAAATCTTCGCGGACCTCCAAGGATCTTTAGGGAGGTGGGCGAGGAAGGAGGAGCAGCAGGCGGGTAAGGAGGAGGAGGAGGAGGAGGAGGAGGAGGAGGAGGAGGAGGAGGAGGAGGAGGAGAAGGAGGAGGAGGAGGAGGAAGGAGGACGAGGGAGGAGGAGGAGTCCGTAGCCATTTCGGCTCATGCCTGGTGCCAGGCTTCATTGCCGTTGGCGCGACGGGCGTGGGGCGCAAGGCATGGATGGCGACGGGAGGGGTCCGCGATCGGATCCCGAGGATGCGTTCGGAGAGGGCAGCGGCAGCGCGGCGCTCGCGCGAGGCTGCTGACGCCGCCGTCCGAGGCCTCCTTGTGAAGGTCCGCGACCTCGAGGAGCGGCTGGCCACGGCGGAGTACGTCCTCGATGCCGTCGCGGGCGACGCCGACCTGTTTGATGCCTGCTCGCCCTTCTTCCCGCTCTGCGTGGGTTCGCTGCTGGCAGGGAGCCCTCGTAGCTCGACAGGCTTCGTCGTAACGGCGCACTTCACGCTGAGGCTCCAGAATTGCAAGGGAAGTTTTCATCGGCAAGCGCTGCACAGCTCCGGTCTGCGCAGCATAGGCCGCGGCTTGGGGGACTACGTGGTGAGGCCGACGAGCAACCCGACGCCGAGGGTGTTCGTGCAGCTCCCGAAGTCCAGGGTGTTCGACCCCCTGGCCGCGGTCACGATCGCGCCGCTCTGGCAGCTGGCGCAGGCGCTCCGCAGGGGCAGATTCCCGCGCGATCTGTGGCGGGAGGCAGAGGGGTCCATGGCCGCGGGCCAATCGCCGGGGCCAATCGCCGCGGCCACGCGGAGCCTTGCGGCATTGGGGCTCGGGTCCGAGGTGGAGCTCTGGCGCGGCGTCCCTGGGTGCCCAGACGGGCGGCGGCCGGCCGACAAAGCCTTGCGCGACACCCAGCGGGTGTTGCTTGAGGCCTGCGCGCGACGCGAGGCACGCGAGGTGGCCGCCCGGCGAGCCGACTTCGCCCACGTCGGGGCTGGGGTCGACCGATGGGCCACCCGGCGCCTCCTCGTCAGCGGGCGGTTGGCGCCAGACGCGGCTGGCGCACTCCGCGCGGTGCTCGCGGGCAACGTGATAACCGAGTCCGTGGCCGCCAAGTGGGGCCGGCCTGCGACCTGCCCCCACTGCGGCGCCGCGTGCGAGGACCGGGAGCACCGCTTCTGGGCCTGCCCAGCGTGGGCGGCCGCTCGGGGCACGGCTCTGCAGGGGTCCGGTTTCACGGAGGCCTCGCTCCGGGCCGCCCTGCCGCCAGGCGTGAGGCTCTCTGGGGTGCTGCCCGTGGACGTCCGGCTCGAGGCCCTGGCAGTGGCGGCCCGCGCGCCGCTCGCTTTGCCGCGCCTCCTCTGCCAGCCCCAGAGCGGCCGGATTCGCGCCTGCAGCGGCTCCGTGCCTGGACGGACGCGCATGCCTGCGACCTTGCGGCCCCCTGTTGGCGCGAGCGGCGCGGGGGCTGCGGCTCGAGCGCCCTGGCGCAGGCCCCGTCGACTGCAGCGGCCCCGTCGACGGCGCGCAGACGGCGAAGCGAGCGGAAGTCACCGCCGCCGCGCGCGCGGTCATCGAGGCGGGCCGGCCCGTCGAGGTGGTGACTGACTCGCGCTACGTCCGCAACGGGGTCGCGGCGTTGCGTGCCGGAGCGTGCCGCCTGGAGTGGCCGCACTCCGACCTCTGGGCCGCGATCGCGCCGCATTGCCGCAGCGGCTTCCTGGCGGCGCGCTGGGTCAAGGCGCACTTGGACGCCGCGGCCGCGCGCGCGCGCGGGGTGGGTGCCGAGGATGGGGAGGGCAACGAGGCGGCCGACCTCCTGGCCGGCGCCGCGGCGGCGACGCGGATGCCGCCGCCGAACTGCGCGCAGCGCGGGACCACCAGCTGCGAGCACTCGCTGCGACGCAGCAGCTGCTGGCGGCAGTGGAGCTCGCCGCCCTGAAAGCGAACCGCGGCAGCCGTGGGCCGGGCGGCCCGCGCGTGCGCCGGCGCTGGACTGCTGCTGGAATTCCGCCCCCGCCGCCAGCCGCGGCCGCAGGGCGCGCCAGGGGCGGCGCCGGCGCCCGCGCCGCCGCAAGCCGGCTCCGGGGCGCGCCGCCCGAACCGCCGCGGGGGCCGCGGAGGGGGCGTGGCGCCGCCGCCGCCTGGCGAGGCCGCGCGCGCGCTGTTCGCCGGCCGCGCATGGCAGGCGCACGCGGCCATGCAGGGCCCCGCGTGGGTGGCGTGCCTCAGGCGCGGCTGCTCGGCGCCGCGGTGGCGCGCGCTCGCCGCGCGGCCGTGCCCTGATTGGGCCCGCGAGCTGCCGCCGCGGGCGGCGGCCCTCCTGCCGGTGCCGGCGGCGCGCGCTGGCGGTGGCGAGGCGGCGCGGCGCGCAGCGCTCGCGGCGCGCCTGGCCGAGCGGCCCGGGCCACCAGGGTGAGCTTTAGTTGCGATTTTTCCCCCCCCCTCGTCCTCCCCCCTCCCCCCCCCCCCCCCCTCCCCTCCTCCTCTTCTGCCGCGGGGCTCTGGGCATGTCTGTAAAAAGTGCAGCTCCCGAAGTCCAGCCCGCCGGCGAGCTTGCGACGCAGAGCCCCCTCGGCGACGCCGCGCCGCTGCTGGAGTGGCGACCTCAGGCCATATGCCGCGAGATGGTCTTGCTGGAGGCCCTTGGGGCCTTACCCTCGGTTGCCCTTGCCGGCTGACCTTGCGATGCCCTTGGGGCCGCCTGGCGCGCGGGAGGTCTTCCCCCAGCCGCCTGGGGACTGGCCAGTGCAGTCAGGAACTTGCCCCTCGTCTTCGGCGCTATGCTGGCAGCTGCACGCGGCAGCCTTCGTCGACGGCCTGGATGCGGGCTGGCGCCCGGCTGCGCTGGATGCTGGAGCGCCCTCGGTGGACGGCGCAGTCGTCAGCAGCGACGGCCGCACCGACGAGAGCGTGTCGGGGACGCTCGACGCCGAGAGCGGCGTGGACAGCGGCTCGAGGGAGGTCCCCACGTGCGACTCCGACGAGCTCGCGTATCCCAGCGGCCTTCTCGAGGAGATGGGCCGCGAGCAGGATGTCGGCGGTGCTGCAGGCACACTGGCGCAGCCGCCGCCGCCGCTCGACGGCAGCGATGAGGCCGCTGCAGCTGCTGAGGCGGCGGTGGCCCCTGCAGGGAGCAGCGGCGGGTCGGTCAGGGCCCCCCCTCCGCGGGGGATGGCTTCCCTGGCGTCTGACCGACCGCGGGCTGCGGGCGTGGGGCCTGCGGGCGGCTCGGGGGATGCGCGGATCCCCTCCTGCAGCCCGTGGCCATGCATTCCGCGCTGTACGACCCGGGCATCGCCGCCTGGGCGCTCGAGCGCATGGGCCGTCCAAGGCAACCATTTGTTCGTCGCCGCGCAGGACGCGACGCCCAGGAAAGGCGTGCGGAGTCGGCTGCCGCTGCCGTCCACCACCAGAGATGGCTCGCCAGACAGTTCGGCTCGCGGCGGCATGCATCTCGGTGGCAGCTCGAGCAGCTTCGCAAGCATATTCGTTGAGTGTGTAATCTTTTTGACTTGGTTCGTGTCGTGCAGGCTGGCTTCCCGAATGTTTTTTGGGGCTCTGCAGTTGGCAGGATGCGTGCGTGGCCCGGCGGGGCAAGGATTGACGGTGTCTGGATATTTTAAGCCCATTACTATTCAGCGTGTTCATCAATCCGCACGCGTTCTTCTCGGTCCTCCTGCGTGCTGCTCCCATGCTCGACTTGCTCCGCGTGCACTTTGTTCGTCTTCGTGTCTGCGGATGTGGAGTTGCACGGGGCGCCGGAGTGGCTCCTGGCTCACTTGCTGTTTCAGAACGGCGGGGCCACTTCCTCGAGGTCGTCATGGTGCCGTCGGTGCTCGTCGTCCTGCTGGCCGCGGTGCGTCGCCGATGCACGTCGCCCTGGGAAACGAGAAATGAGAGGATTGAAGAGGAGGAGGAGGAGGAGGAGGAGGACGAGGAATCCGACCGTAGCCATTTTGGGTCAAGGTCCGCGGTGTTTCGGCACAGGGCCTGGCCTTACTGGTGCGGGGGAGTGACGGCCCCCACCAAGTCGCGCCTCGTCACCTGGCACAGGTGAGGGTTTTGGCGGTTTCTCGCAGGTACGGCCTGCGAGGTTTCCCAGCGCGTGAGTCGCGTTATGAGCAATGATGGGCGCACAGTCCTCAAGGGGGCGAAGACCCCCCACTGGGGCCGTGGGCAATGCGGGCGAGCATCCAACTGGGCCTCTAGGATCCAGTGTGCGCGTGGAGCCGCAGCGCCGAGAACGATTGTGGACAAAGCGAGGGCTGCAGACAAGGTTGCCAATGGGTGCGCGGGCGGGGGCGGGAAAGGCCCGCCACCACCAGGTCCGTGGGCGGCCAAGTATGAGGCCCAAGCAAAGCATATTGCAGCACTCACTTCCAAGCTCGACAAGCTGGCCAAGAATGGTCCCTCGCCAGGCGGGGGCTCGCAGGCGGGGCCAAAGGCTGGAGATCCGAAGGGGGCTGAGGCTGAGAAGTGACGGGAGCGAATCGAGATGCTGTGCCAGACGATTCAGAACCTGGATGCGGGGCGGGACAAGGAGTTCATTGAGGGGCCGCAGACAAAGGCGAAGGAGACCCGCGAGCAGCTCCAGCGGCTCAAGCCCCAGATCACCCAGCACACGAACGCGGGCCACTTGCTGGCGGAGCTGGAGCGGAAGAGGGCGGCCGCTCTCCAGAAGAAGATGGAGCAGGAGGACATCGTCACGGCTGCGCAGTCGGAGATGGGCAGGCAGGGCGAAATCGCCACCAAGCTTGAGGCCGAGATTGGAGGCCAAGCGGGCGCTGGCGAGCACGATCCCCGACGACGTTTTCTTCGACTGCGACGAGGCGGAGTTTGTGGACGACCAAGAGGTCAAGGACATGTTCGCGTCGGCAGCATGGAAGCGGTACCACGACAAGGTCAGGGAGAAGGTAGGTTTCCGCGTTCGGGCGCCTCCTGCGGCTGCTCATGATGGCGGTGGTGGTGTCCCCGCTGCTGCTGAACGTGGGGCCGCTGATGGGTGTGAAGAACCTGATGGCAAGGGCGTGGACACCCTGCGGCAGGCAACCAAGGGCGATAAGCGGAACTTGTTGGAGCAGCTGCGCGCCGCGGGGTACAAGCGGCCCAAGCGGGGGTGACAGCGGCATCGTGGACGCGAGGAAGCAGAAGGGGGGGCCTGACTTCCGCTTCTACTTCGCTAACATCACCAGCTATGGCGACAAGGCCAAGGACCAGATCAAGGCCTGGTCACGGGCACGTGCGCTCAAGGAACCGTCGATTTCCTGCAGTACGGGGAAACACCTGAGCGAGCCTGAGGGGTTTGAGGAGCGGGCGCCGCACCTCGTCGGTTTCGTGGAACACCACATGTTGGGGCCCAAGCCCACAGAGGTGAATAAGGGGCTCCGTAAACAGGGATGGCGGGGGGACTTCGTCCGAGCCCAGCCTACGATCAACGGTGGCCGTCAGGGACATGGAGGCGTCGCAGTGTTCAGCCGCTCCCACCTGCACACCACGGTGCCCACGACGGAGGAGAAGCCGATGTTCCCAGAAGTGCTCCCGCCGCTACAGAGTCAATGGGCGGTGCAGTGGGTGCGGTTTCAATCTGTCGATGTTGCATTCGTGACGGCCGACTGTGTGGTGGGAGTGGGCCTGGGGGAGCCAAACCTTTCCCTGTTGACGGAGATTGGCCAGTACCTTCGGCTCAAGGGCTCGCCCTTTGTAATCATGGCCGATTGGAACATGACGCTGGATGAGGTGGGGCCTGCAGGTTTCGACACGTACGTCGGAGGTGAGTGGATCACAGCGGGCCCACATCCGAATGGTGAGAGGTTGATTGGCTACATGTGTGTTTCAGATTCGCTGCGCTATGCCGTCGATATCTCGTGGGATAGTTTCTCGCCATGGGCAGCGCCGCATCATGGGATCCATGGTGCCATCAAGAAGGCTGCGCTCACGATGAAGCAGAGGGTGGCCCTGACGCCGATCCCCATCACGCCAGGCATGCACGGACCTGACCAACCGCGGGGGTGCTTCTGGGAGACGGCAGCGGCGGATGTTGACGAGGGCATGGCGAGGCCTGGGATGCAGGAGCTCGTGGGGCCCGAGAGGGGGGTCAGCATGGGCAGCCTGACCTTCGCGTTGGCGGCGGAGGCCCTGCTGCTGAACAGGGTGGTGGAGACGGCGGACCGCCTCGCCTCCACCAAGAGAGGCTACAAGGTTGAGGTCAAGGAGGTCCAAGTTGTTCCTCCGAAGCCGAAGGGGTGGATGGCCCAAACCTCGGGCGTGGCCAAGTGGGGGGGGCCCTAGAGGGCCGCCTGCTTGAGTGCGTGGGCATGGCCCAGAAGCGAAGGGCCCTCCATCTTAGACGGCAGGGGTGGGACAGCCTGCAGAGACAAGTGAGTGTATGTAGAAGTTCAACTCCTGTTTTACCAGAAGAGGCGGGAAAAACGCTTCCTGGACAAGCTCGACGGGGCCCAGTTTCATCATTACAAGAGCCTCCAGAGGCTCCAGGTCCTGGCCAAGGAGTGCCGACGTGTGGTTTGGCGTGTTGAGCGTTTCCATGGGCGGGAGGCCTCTACTGGATTTAAGCAGTGGGTAGTGGAGAGTTTAAAGAAAGGGGGGGGGGGGGGCTCTCCACCGTTGGACAAAAACGTGGGGGGGGGGGCCAACGCCGACCCTCGCCCCAGAATGTGGCCCTGAGGGGGACCGCATTGTTGACCCCCTGGCTGCGGTGGCGGCCAAGGCTGCTGCCTGGGAGGCGTTGTGGTGCCCGAAGGACGGTGTTAGGGGGCCCCCTCAGGACCAAGACTGGTGGTCAGAATTTAAAGCCTGTGCCCGCGAAGCGCGTGATGATCTTCCGATGCTCGAATTAGCTGATTTGGAGGCCGCGCTTTCCAGTTTTCGGTCCGCGATCGGGATGGGCCTAGATGGCCAGAGCCCGAAGAATTGGAGCCAGCTGCCACCAGCTGGTCGCAGGCAATTGCTGGCTTTGTTACACCAGGTAGAGGACGCGATGATCTGGCCGAGCCAGGTTCGTGACAATGTTGTGCAGCTGTTGCACAAATCCCCGACAGCAGATCGCCCCATCACCCTCACACAAGGCCTTTATAGATGTTGGTCGGTGGCGGTTTGGGTGGCGGGGGAGAGTCGGGCTCGTTTCTGGGCTAAGGCCATCAGAGGGAGCTCAGCTTTAAGGGCAGCGATTTTGCGCCAATTGCAGTTCGACGTTTCGACCATCCAGGGTTTCCCGTGGGCCGAGATCCTGTGGGACATGGAAAAGTTTCACGATCATCTCCAGTGTTGCGAGATTTTCAGGCTCGGTCGAGCCACGGGGTACCCAATGTTTCATCTTTTTCATGGCCATGCACATCCACTTCGCCCCAAGGAGGGTGAGAGCCGAGGACTGTCTCAGCGAAGTGATTCAACCCTGGAGGGGGATATTTGCGGGCTGCAACCACTCAGTAGATGTGGCCAGGGTAGCTCTGTTTGAAATTTTGCAGGACCTGCACGACTCCTTCAGACCTCTCCAACTCGATTCCTAGGTGGACGACTGTTCCCAGCGGGTGATTGGACATACTAAGGGGGTGGTCTCGAAGAGCGTGCAAGTAGGCAGGAAGTTTTGGAAGCTATGTAAGCAGGGCGGACTGAAGGTCTCAAGTAAGAGCACTCTCGTGAGCTGCCCTGCGCACTTGGCCGCGGGAATCAAATCAGCGCTGGCGGTCCATGGCCTACATGTGCAGTCCTCTCAGGTGGCCAAGGACCTGGGAGTGGATGCCACGGCTGCCAGGCGCAGTGTTGCCACACTAAAGAAGCGAATTAAAGCCGCTGCGGGTCGTGCCAAGATGATCGAGCAGGTGGTGAAGATAACCCCGAGGGCCCGCACTCTTGGGAGGTCTGGTTTTATTCCCCAAGCGACGTGGGGACTGGAAGGTACAGGGCTGGCCCCCCCTGCCGACTGTGCAGGCGCAATTCGAGCGTCCTCTGGCCCTTGCGTGGAAAAAGGCCTGGCAGCAGTTGAGACATGTCAAGCGGCGATGGAGTCATGTCAAAGGCCCTGTCTCTGCCGTCATTGCTTGCCTTCTCGACATAGATTGGACGGCGCCCGAGCCGTGGTTGTGGATCTCGCCTGAGCAGCAAGGGTTCGATCTGAGAGACTGTGACCCCGAGAGGCCCATCGACTTCGAGCTTAGAGGATCGCTTGATGCCCAGATCTGGGGCAAGGCCTCGCAGCACCACCTTGGGAAGGGTCTGGAATTTAGTGCCGGTTTTGCAGTTCCTTACCCCCACATGAAGCGGTTGGAGGGACGGAGCCATTGGGACAGAGCTGCAGTCTTGCGCATGGTCCTCACAGGTAGTCTCTGGCCAGCAGCACGCAGATTCGGAGAGGAGGCCCTCCGACCCCGTCCTCCTGACGAGTTCCCCGCGGCCGATGCTGCTGCTGCGCCCTCTTCGTTTCCCTCCGACTTGCCGGCGCCCGACCCTGCCGCAGGGTGCTCGAGCGCCGCAGGAATCTTCCAGGAAGAGATGGACATAGCTGAGCTTTTCGACCTCGAGGCCAGGCAGGAATTGCCACCCGCCGCCGAGGAGGAGGAGGCGGAGGAAGCCAGGTCTTGGGCCACCCCCGCCTGCCCCCGCTGTGGTGCCCCATCGGAAACCACGTTTCACCAACTTTGGGCGTGCCCGTGTAATGTCGGGATTGAGGGTTCCCACCCCGAACTGCTTCAGCGAGCGGAAGAGGGATGGGAGGAGTTTCTGTGTTTTTGGTTAAAGGGGGCTACCACCGTTGAGGTGGACCAGCGGCCCCACGCTGGTCGGTGCCCCAAGCGACCCCGTCATTTCCCCAAGCCTCGATCCTGGGCCGATCGATTTGGAGGAGGGGGATGTCGTCGTCGGGACGGACGGGTCGGGGGGGGGCGTACTCGTCGGAGCCCAGGCTGAGGCGATGCGGTTGGGGGTTCTCCATCATAAGGGGGAACAGTCTTTTGGGGTGGGGCCATGGGCCGCTCCCAGGATATAAGCAGACCGTACCGCTAGCTGAGTTAGAAGGAGTCATCCAAGCCTTGCGACACACCAGGGGTGCGGTCACTTTGGCGGTGGATTCCTCCATCACCATCCGCACCTTTTTGAGGGGCAGGAACTATGTGCCACCTGTCAATGTTGCACCGTGGCGAAGGTTTTGGGCCGAGGCGGGTGACAGGCAGATCAGTATGGTCAAAGTCATGGGCCACACCCGTCCTGCTCCCGAGAGGGAGGATGGCCCACCAGTTTTGTTTTGGCTTGCCAATGGAGCTGCGGATACAGCTGCGGAGGAAGGAGCTAGGAGGGCCCAACTCCCTGGGCACATCATAGCTGAAGTGTGCAGGATCGATGAGCTAACCCACAAGGTGCAGGAGCACCTTGTTGCGGTGGCTCTTCACCTAGCGGTGAGAGCGCCAGAGCTGTACGGCCCCAGCTCCAAGGCCGCGAGGGCGTCTGAGGCTAAGGCCAGGGGTCGCGAGCGGGCGCTCGAGGTTGAGCGGGCTGCGGCGGTGTCGACTCATCGGGTCGTCACCGACGCGAAAGGTGTCAGATATGCGCTGTGCAACACCCGCCCGACGGCTGAACGGAGGAAGCTGGAGTGGCTTGCAACCACATGCGCCAGAGTTCCGCATGGTATCGACCCCTCGAATAAGTTGAGCTTTTGCCAGGGGGTCTTCTGGTGCCAGGCGTGCGGGGCAACTGGAACGCGTGGGAAATTCGTCAAGCTGGGGGGAGAGTGCAGACCCGATCGCGTGGGCGAATGGGGTAAGCGCATGTTGAAGTGCCTGAAAGAAGGGAAACTCCCCCCAGGGCTCAAGGCATGGCCTGAGCCAGATCCTTAAGTTTTGGTCTCGGCGTGCCCGCTCATGGGATTCTCGCTGCAGCGCTGTAAAAAAAAAGAGGACGAGGAATCCGATAAGGAGGGGGGAGGAGGAGGAGGAGGAGGAGGAGGAGGAGGAGGAGGAGGAGGAGGAGGAGGAGGACAGGAGGAGGAGGAGGAAGAGGAGGAGGAAGAGGACAAGGAGGAGGAGGAGGAGGAGGAGGAGGAGGAGGAGGAGGAGGGAGGAGGACGAGGAATCTGGGGAGGAGGAGGAGGAGGAGGAGGAGGAGGAGGAGGAGGAGGAGGAAGAGCAGCTTCGGGGGGAGGGGGGGGAGGGAGGGAGAGAGGGAGGGACCCTGGGCCAGCGGCGGCAGGAACCCAGCGACCTCTGGCACAGAGGCCTGCGCCTGCTGCGCGGGTGGCTCCCGCCCCGCCGCGGGCCTCCGCAGGCGGGGCCCGGCGGGCTGGCCCGGCCTCTCGCGTCAAGTCGGGCCTGTCTTTCTACGGGGGGAGTTCGCCAAAATCGTAAAATAATAGTCTTGGGACGATGTTTTGACAAGTTTCGAATATTGTGTTTGTATTGTTCGGTATTTTTATGTTTCGCTCCAAATCCGCCTGTAGGGGGACATGCCCGACCTGACTCTCCTGGCGGGTTGTACTCCTCCCCAGAGCAGTCTGCCTGGAGGGGCTTCGTATCTCTGGGGGGCGGTCAAGCGGGGGGTGATGGCTACCAGGGGAGGCGAAGGTGCCCATGATTGGGTCGCTCGCCAGGATAATGTGTGATCCCTAGCAAACCATCCCTCAGGGGAGGAAGAGGTACCCATACCGCTGCCTTGACCTCGGTTTTCCCTCTTTGGGCCTCCTTGGGGGGACCCTCGTCGCCACCGCTGGATTTGCCTCGACGTGCTGGTCAGAACGCACCCTGGGAGAGGTCCAGGGGGTAGCGGTATCGGTACCTTTCGGTTTCCCCACTAGCATACCATCCCCCTCCGTGACGTCACCTTCGCCTCGCCCCAGGACGTATGTGTGTGGCCGGAGTGAAGCTTGAAAGGCGAGGATGGCGTCGCGGAAGGTGCAGGCCGCGCCCGAGTATCCGCGCCCTCGTGGTCTGGGTTCCAGGGCGTGGTCTGGCGCCCCGCGCGAGGCATGCGTGCAAAGAGCGCCCTGTATCCGAGGGGTCGCGGCCCATGGGCCCAGCCTGCGAGGATTTTCGCCCACGAGCGGCCCTTTGCCGGAGTGACCTTGGATGCAGGTTCACAGGGGCGCGTCTCGATTCAAAAATGGCTCTTGCGCCCGTGGGAATCGGCTCGATTCAGCACCCAGAGCGGACCCAATTCTGATCGATTCCGTTTGGGATCTCGAATGCAGTCCGCTAGCGATTCTTCACGCTTCGCGCATCCCCACCAACCCGTTCAGAAACCCTGCCCACGAGAGCTGACGGGAAAAGGGACAAAGAGACATACATAGCGAAACAAGTAACAAAGCGGGCAACCAGGATACACGGAGAGATCTCTGGGAGCAGGGGGGTGGCCTTGCATGGCCTCTTCGGGCCATCCTTGGGGCCCGCGCGAGGGCGAGTTTTGGGCCCTCGTCGGGCCCTCTTCGGGCTCTCGTGGGGTACATAGTCCTGGGCCCAGGAGGGCCTCTTGGGGCCATCATGGAGGCCATCGATCAGAAGAGGCGAGTCCCCGATCTAAGCCTCCCCTTTGGGGCTATCAAAGTCGCTACTTGGAGCCCTTTTATAGCGCTCTTGGCGCTCGTCTCGTGGGGGCCTCTTGGCCCCTCTTGGGCCTCTCATGGGACATCTAGGGGCCATCTTGAGGCCTTACGAGCTAACAGCAAGCGACAAGGCGAGGAGGCAACATTCGCTCATGCTCCGTAGGTGTTTGAAAGATGTTTGCCTCTTGGGAGGGGGTCCCAAGGGGGGTCCGAGAGCACTTGGAACCGTTTTGTTCCCAACCATTATGTGGTGTTGGGTCCTCGTTTTGAAGAAACGGTCCCCGCGTCTCCTCTCCTCTCCTCCTCTCCTCCTCCCTCCTCCCCCTTTTCCTTGCGTTTCACCCACCCAGTACAGCGTTTCGTAGCCCCATACGAGCTCCACCGAAGGCCCCAGTACCCGCGCCCGCATGCGTCCCCCACACCCATTTCGGCACACCCCTCACACGTTTCGTGGCTCCATAGGGAGCTCCACCGAAGGCCCCAGTGCCCGCGCCCGCATGCGTCCCCACACCCATTTCGGCACACCCCTCACACGTTTCGTGGCTCCATAGGGAGCTCCACCGAAGGCCCCAGTGCCCGCGCCCGCATGCGTCACCCACACCCATTTCGGCACACCCCTCACACGTTTCGTGGCTCCATAGGGAGCTCCACCGAAGGCCCCAGTGCCCGCGCCCGCATGCGTCCACACCCATTTCGGCACACCCCTCACACGTTTCGTGGCTCCATAGGGAGCTCCACCGAAGGCCCCAGTGCCCGCGCCCGCATGCGTCACCCACACCCATTTCGGCACACCCCTCACACGTTTCGTGGCTCCATAGGGAGCTCCACCGAAGGCCCCAGTGCCCGCGCCCGCATGCGTCACCCACACCCATTTCGGCACACCCCTCACACGTTTCGTGGCTCCATAGGGAGCTCCACCGAAGGCCCCAGTGCCCGCGCCCGCATGCGTCACCCACACCCATTTCGGCACACCCCTCACACGTTTCGTGGCTCCATAGGGAGCTCCACCGAAGGCCCCAGTGCCCGCGCCCGCATGCGTCACCCCCACACCCATTTCGGCACACCCCTCACACGTTTCGTGGCTCCATAGGGAGCTCCACCGAAGGCCCCAGTGCCCGCGCCCGCATGCGTCACCCACACCCATTTCGGCACACCCCTCACACGTTTCGTGGCTCCATAGGGAGCTCCACCGAAGGCCCCAGTGCCCGCGCCCGCATGCGTCACCCACACCCATTTCGGCACACCCCTCACACGTTTCGTGGCTCCATAGGGAGCTCCACCGAAGGCCCCAGTGCCCGCGCCCGCATGCGTCACCCACACCCATTTCGGCACACCCCTCACACGTTTCGTGGCTCCATAGGGAGCTCCGCCGAAGGCCCCAGTGCCCGCGCCCGCACGCGTCAGCCACACCCATTTCTGCACGCCCCTCACGCGTTCCGTGGCCCCATAGGGAGCTCCGCCGAGGGTCCCAGTGGGTGTGCCCGCATGCGTCCCGCACACCCATTTCGGCACACCCCTCACACGTTTCGTGGCCCCATAGGGGGCTCCACCGAAGGCCCCAGTGGGTGTGCCCGCATGCGTCCCGCACACCCATTTCGGCACACCCATCGTACGTTTCGTGGCCCCGTAGGGGGCTCCACCGAGAAGATATTCACAATTGCAGTATTCACAATTGCATATGGTTGGGTCCTTCGCCAGGATAATTGTTTTCGTGGGGCGTCTTGGAGCCACCATGGAGCTCATCCTGAGCGATCTCGCGCTATCTTGAGCCATTTTGGAGGCCATCTTGGAGGCAATCTTGGAGCATCGGTGACCCTCTTGGAGACATCTTGGGCGAAGAGGGGCCCTCTGACACCTTGCCCCTCCCCCCAGCCAAAAACCTGAAGGAAGGGAGGGGGAGGTACCCCTCCTCGAAGGGAAGAGGAGTTTTGGAAGAGTAAATCAAGACATTGGCAGACCACCTATGCCCAGAGGGCTGGTGGGATTACCAGGCGGACATTTAGAATCAAAAAATGCTCGATCTGGATCGGATCTTTTCTTGATCCTGAGCCGGTCCGAAGTACATTCGGAACGATAGGAAAGGATCAATTCAGAATCAGGACTCGCATTAGTCAGGATCCAGAATGGACCGATTCGGGATCCAGTGATGGAGCGATTTAGGATCCAGGGTGGGCCCGAGCAGGATCCGCTGTTTTCCTCGAGCCTGAACCGCACCTATGCTGGGCCCCCTCCGGAGCACCGGCCACTGGGCGCGTGGATCCAGCCCCCTGAAGGCGCGTACCAGAGGCCATTCGTGCCTAACCTCGAGATAGGGCCGCAGACACCTCCAGACTGCAACTCGGCAAGGCGACCGTGAAATCCAAGCGGTAATCTCCTGAACCGTGCGAGCGCGAATCCATGAAAAGCATGTAGGCGATAATCTAAGGTTCATAGATCACAAAATATAACGGGCATTTGAAACGCAAAATACAATTATCCTGGTGAGTGGTCCAAACACATGCTGATCCAGCGTTGCGGAAGAACTTTCGACGTCTTTCGAAAAAAACACGACCAGAGCCCTGGACCCAATCGTTTTGCCGCACTTCTCGGGAAGACGAGCACGAGGGCACGAGCACAGGTGGACAACGAGCAGCGAGGCGACATCGGAGAGGACATTTGCAAGGCAATGCTTGCCCCTCTCTGCCTCGCGCCGCGCGGACTCCTGCCAGAAGGGGGGGGTGCCACTCGCAGGACTCCCGGCGATTTGATTCCCAACCATCCTGTGGTGTTGGGTCTTCGTTTGACAGAGACAGCGCCCCGCGTTCTCGTCATTTCATCCTATTGCCCCTCCTCCCTCCTCCCATCCCCGTGCCCCACTTCGGCACGCTTCTCACACGTTCCGTGGCCACATAAGGGAGCTCAACGCCTCAGCGGCAGGGTCCGCATGGCGGCCCCGCACCTATTTCGGCACCCCACTTGTGGCCCCGCAAGGAGCTCCACCGAAGGCCGTAGCGGCAGGGTCCGCATGGCGGCCCCACGCTAACCTCGGCAGACCCCTCACGAGCTGCGTGGCACCACAGAGAGCCCCACCAGATGCATCAGTGGCAGGGTCCGCATTGCGGCCCCGCACTCGATTCGGCACATCCCATACTCGCTTCGTGGCCCGATACGAAGCTCCACCCGCAGATTGTTGGGCCGTTCGCCTGGATAATTCCCAACCGGCCTGTTGTGTTGGGTCCTCGTTTTGAATCGACAGAGCCCCGCGTTCTCCTCCTTTCCTCCTTCCCCTTCCTCCCACTCCCGTGCCCCAGGCTGACACACTCCTCACACGTTTCGTGGCCCCATCGGGAGCACCACCGAAAGCACTAGCGGCAGGGACCGCGTGGCTGCCCTGCACCAGGTTCAGCACACCCCTCACACGCTTCGTGGCCACATAGGGGGCTCCACCGAAGGCATTAGCGGCAGGGTCCGTGGCGGTTCCGCACCCACTTCGGTACACCACTCACACACGCCCTGGCCCAACAAGGAGCTCCAGCGAAGGCCCCACTTGCAGGGTCCGCATGGCGGCCCCGCGCCAAGTCCGCGGTACACCCTTCACAAGCTTCGTGGCCCCATCAGGAGCTCCACCAGAGGCATCAGTGGCAGGGTCCGCATGCCGGCCCCGCACTCGATTCGGCGCATCCTTTACACCACGCTTCGTGGCCCTTTAAGGAACGCCACTAGAGGCCTCAGCGGCAGGGTCCGCATGGCGGCCCCGCACCCATTTAGGCAAACCCCTCACTCGTTTCGTTTGCCCATAGGGATCTGCGCCTCCTGAGTCCCACCTGCGTTGCGGCATTCGCACCCGCGTATTGTTGTGTCACTCGCCCGGATAATTCTCAACCGTCTTGTGGCGTTGGGTATTCGATTTGAAGAGAGCGCCCCGCGTTCTCTTCCTATCCTCCACCCCCATCCTCCCACTCCCGAGCCCAATTTCGACACACTCCTCGCACGCGTCGTGGCCCCATCCAGAGCACCACCGAAGGCATTAGCGGCGGCAGGTTCCACGTGCCGGCCACGCACCAGATTCAGCACACCCGTCACACGCTCCGTGACCGCATTGGGGGCTCCACCGAATGCTCCATTGGCAGGCCCCGCCCCCATCTCAGCACACCCTTCATACGTTCCATGGCCCCACAAGTAGCTCCAGCGAGGGCCCCAGCTGCAGGGTTCGCATGGTGGCCCCGCCCCCGACTCGGTACATCCCTTACACGTTTCCCGGCATAGGGAGCTCCAGCGACAGCGTCAGGGTCCGCATGGCGGCCCCGCATCCGATTCGGCACACGCCTCACATGCTTCGTGGCCCCATAGGGAGCTCCACCGAAAGATGCAGAGGCAGGATCTGCATGGCGGTCCCGCGCCGATGCTGGCACATTCCTCACACGTTTCGTGGCCCCTCCAGGAATTCCACCTCAGCGGCACGGTCCGCATTGCGGCCCAGCACGCGGTTTGGCATACCCCTCACATGTTCCACAGCCCAACGTGGAACTTCACCGAAGGCACTAGCGGCAGGGTCCGCATGCCGGCCCCGCCCCCATCTCAGCACACCCCTCACACGTTTCGTGGCCACACAGAGAGCTCCGCCGAACGCCCAGGGTCCGCAGGGCGGCCCCGCCCCCATCTCAGCACACCCCTCATACGTTTCGTGGCCCCTTGTGAGCTCGAGGCTCCAGCGAAGGCCCCAGCGGCGGGGGCCGCATGGCGGCACGGCATCCGATTCGGCACACGCCTCACACGTTTCGTGGCTCCACCAGGAGCTCCACCGAAGGCCCTAGCGGCAGGGTCCAAATGGTTGCCCCGCATCAGGGTCAGCGCACCCTTTACACGCCTTGCGGCCCCATAATAAATTCCACGGGCAACCTCATCGGCAGGGTCCGTATGGTGGCCCTGCACTCGATTCGGCACACCCCTCACACGCTTCGAGGCCCCATAGAGAGCTCCACCGAAGGCCCCAGCGGCAGGGTCCGCATGGCGGCCCCGCGCCAATTTCGGTACACCCTTCAAAAGCTTCGTGGCCCCATAGGGAGCTCCACTGGAGGCATTAGCGGACGGGTCCGCATGGCGGCCTTGCACTCGATTCAGCACACCCCTCACACGCTTCGACTCCCCGTAGGGAGCTCCACCGAGGGCCCCAGCGACAGGGTCCGCATGGCGGCCCCGCACCCACTTCGGCACACCTTTCACACGCGTCGTGGCAACACAATGAGCTCCACCGAAGGCCTCAGCGGCATGGTCCGCATGGCGGCCCCGCGCCAATCTCGACACACCCCTCACAAGCTTTGTGGCACCACATGGATCTCCATTGGAGGCCTCAGCAGCAGGGTCCGCATGGCGGCCCCGCACCCATTTCGGCAAATCCCTCACGCCTTTTGTTTCCCCATCTGGACCTGCCCTTCTTCGTCCCACATGCCTTGCGGCACTCGCGCCCGCATATGCTTTGGCCTTTCGCCCGGATAAATTGTTCTCACCGTGGACCCCCATCTGACCGGCTTTTCGAATTGCGATCCGTTGTTTGAGGGTCCCAGGGCCCGGCGAGGGCCCCCAGGTGCCGAAAACGTTGGAAAATTTCCCGCCGTGATGTGTTTACGGTTCGTGGGTGTCTGACAAGGACGGGGAGGAGGTCGAGGAGGAGGAGGAGGAGGAAGAGGAGGAGGAGGAGGAGGAGGAGAGGAAATGGAGGAGATGGATGATGATGATGATGATGATGATGAGGAGGAGGAGGAGGAGGAGGAGGAGGAGGAGGAGGAGGAGATGTAGGAGGAGGAGGAGGAGAAGGAGAAGGAGGTAGAGGAGGAGGAGGAGGAGGAGAAGGAGAAGGAGGTGGAGGAGGAGGAGGAGGAGATGGAGGAAGAGATGGAGGAGGAGGAGGAGGAGGAGGAGATGGAGGAGGGAGAGGAGCAGGAGGAGGAGCCGGAACGGGGTGCCCAGGGCGCCGTTGTCGAGCGGGGCGCGCTCTGAGAGGCCGCCGCGCGGGGCGGTGCTCTTGGCGGGGGCGGCTGGGCGCCGGCGCCCCGCGGTGGGCGGGCTTGCGGGGGGGGGCCCTTGCGGGGCGCCCGTCGCCGCGCTGGACCCTCGCCGTCGCCGCTGCTGCGGCCGCCACCGCCTCTATCTCGGAGGAGAGAGGCTGTAGACTCCGAGTGCCTCCACAGGTGTGTGGGGTGCCCAGGCCTGATCGCGTCGCGAAGAAGTTTGAGCAGGACGCGCCGTTTTTCGCCTTCCTCTGGGCCCTCGCCAGACCCCAGGGCCGTAAAAACGACTCCGAGTGAAAAGCTTGTCTCGGTGAGTGGGTCAAGTCATCCGGAGGTCCACGTACAGTGAACCCGCGCAGTAAGGATGGGCAGCCTTCCCAAGGGTATCCTGGCATCCTTGCCTCCTCGGTCCATCCTTGGCCACTTTCGCTGCCCGCGATCCGCTCGAAGAGCTTCGAAATGGGCGTCCAAGGCCCATGCATCCTTATCGCGCATCCTTACAATACGGGCCAACTGTATTCAAATCACAGGACATTGCATGTCCAGGTGACTTGCAATAGTCCAAGACGGGGGCGACCACCTCCACCGCTGCTCTATCGTGGTCGGTTCTCAGCGCGAGTGCTGAAAGGGTGCCCGTAGTCCGGGGGGGGGGGGGGTCCCTGCAGCCTGGGGGGGCGGGGGCGGGGGGCGTGGTCCAGGGGGGGGGGCTTGTAGTCCGGGGGAGGGTGTTCCAGCCGTCCGAGGGGGGGCTCTTGTAGTCTGGAATGTAGTCTGAGGGGCCATGCAGTCCGGGGCCCCAGAATGTGAGGCATTCGAAGTGGACTGAACCTTCGATTGGGTCTCTTGGGTCGGCGCTGGAGGCGCCGCCGGAGGCTGCCGGCGCCGATGCAAGGACTCCGCGCGGACCTCCGAACGTTTGT